GTTTAGTGAATAGCCAACTTAAAATCAAAGTGAAAAAACTGATAAGCAACATAGCTGTGAGTATTATCATTCGAATAGGTAGATTGTGAATCGATGAAAAATGATTCGAGACGATAGATTAGCTGGATCAACATAAAAGTGAAAGGTACATACAAGACACGATATCATCAAAAGAAAAATCAACTGTTTATGTGTGGCGTAAGCCACTATTCAATAATCCTAAAAATGATTCACTCTAATGAGAATGTTAAATAGGTGACTCTCACAATCAAGCTGTGTCTTTTTTCAGATAAAAAATTATTGAAATCGCCTGGTACGACATAGACATTTGGTCAATTCGCTGTTATTTATGGACTCCTGTCAACGATTCATCTAACGTTTTTTAAGTACAACCTGAGTAAATTATTTGCGCGTAAATAATATTGAATAGTGAATAGAATATTCATCTAATATGCCACGGAAAATCGAGAAATTGTTTACTAAAAACAAATATCGATTCAACTCATCTAAGAAAGAAAACGCATTCGATTGGGAAGACATACAAAACGTAACTCTCCGCAGTAAACTTTACACATTCGATGATACTTATTTAACTGAATCAGAAGACGAAAGAGTTCGACGCCGTCATGAAAGACAGAGTTTTCCTCTTGAGTCAAAGGTAATTCAAAACACAGAAAGTGATCCGCGAGATGATGGCTCCCCGTTTGTCACAGACTGGTTTCTCTATTTCACTAATGGCCAATTGAAGCTATCATTCAATGACCTCTTTGATGCGCTGATCAATGGCATACGAAAAGAAGGTCAATTTAGATCTGAATCAGAACTAAATAAAATAATTAACGCCCTCATCGATATAAAAAAGGACGATTCAATCAAATCTAAAGGTGAACGCATGAAACGATTAGAAGAAGCATGCGCAAAGCTTTACACGAAAACAAGTTTTCTTTTCGAAGTTGTTAACCGAACCTTGCGCGATAATGATCGTAGTAAATTGACTTCACTCGGACCTTATTGCTTCCTCGTTTACAACTACATTGGTAGTCAAATGCCTAAATATACATCAATTCCATCCTATTTTCGGCGAAGAAGTAACTCGACACAATCATCATCAATCGTTGTCTATCGAGGTTGTGGCGCAACAATGGAACTCATTAACCAATACCGTCAAGCAGCTGGACAAAAAGATAAATATTTTAAATGGTTATCATTTGTGTCAACTTCACTTGATGAAAGTGTGGCTAAAACATTCATTTGTAATGTCTTATATGAAATTGAGTTGCAGCAGAATGCATTGAACGATCAATTCGTGAACTTAGAAAATATATCCTATCATGCTGATGAGAGAGAAATTTTATTACGACCAGGTGTTCGCTTTCGAGTCAGCCGAGTGGAAACAATTGAAACAGACAAATTAAAAGACATTACAAAGATCAGTATCTCTATTGTTCCATCATTTATATCTCTACTAATGTGAACAGGTCTTGTACGCTTTGATTTGTACTGTATATAAATAAAACAGATTCAATCTGTTAACGATTAAGCGTTTAAACTTATTTTATTCTTCTCACGAAATAGTTTTTTGCTTGTAAAACTAATAATTGACAAGATGAATTTATCATGAATTGACGTTCTTTAATTTTACCTGAAGAGTTTTGATGATGTACTTCAATTCAATAGAAGTGACAAAAATTTTTAAACTACTTCTATAATTGACGGAAAATTTAGTTAATTTAGAATGAAGATGTTTGACTTGGTTGTATACCATACCAAAACAAAAACTCGCTTTGCTTTTGCTCCTTTTCTTCGTTAGTTGTCAAGTGGATTCAACTGTTATCTCTACCTGTTTCCGTGTCAGTAAAAATACGAAAAATTCTATGCTGCGCAGGTCACTCACAAAACAAACACCTTTTTAGTATTCTACTAATATAGATACTGTCGTCGCTATCTCAGTTGTATTACATAACACATCCAGTTCCCAAAGTAGTTGTTAATTTTTCTTACAAATTGAATTCAACAGCAAAAAAAATCAATCTAAAATGTTGTTTTCTACGGTGATTCTATTCTCACAAATCTATTCAACATTTTTTACAATATCGTACTACGATTGTTTGCTTGCACCTGATAAATACGACTATATTGTTACACCTAGTAACATCCCATCGACAGTTGAAAAATGTCAAACAAAAGTTAGTTCAACTGGTTGTAGCATTGGTATCAGATGGTATTAAACTACTAACATGATTGGCATTGCTTTAACACCCGACGATAAATCACCATTGTCATCAGCGCAAACACTGCGCGTCACAACTCTTCTATCAGTTATCGGAGTTACAAAAGAAATGCAGAATTCGCTTTATTATTTTTGTACAACAGACCGATGCAACGATATATCTGTATTTAAACGTATGCTAGGATCTTTATCAATAATTAACAAATTAAATGACCTTGACTGTTTATTAAAACCTGATGAACTTTTCGATGGTCTTGGATGTTTATTTCTTCATACGAATAACATTGATGATATGTGCAAGGCAACTAGTGCTTTCGATCCAACAACTTTTACAACTCAAGCGCCAATAGATAAAATATGTGCAACGTGTTTCAAGGATGATGTAGGTGGCAATTACTTAGGCGAAGAAAGTGTTTTTAATATGAATGATCAAACACTTACACCAAGTTGGTTTATTCATTGCCAATCGAAAAACTGTAATGATCTTAGTACTGTGTAACGATATTTGTGTAGTGCATTGTATGCATATGTTTGATTTTCTCATTACTTCTAATATGACGTATTGTTCTTCTCTTTTTGTCCATACTTCATACTTTGCACTTTATATTGCATGATGCACTTAAAATGCCATGTAAGAAGAGGGATGCCCAAGGACTGAGGATTAAGAATTTCTTATCAGTTCCCTTACAGTTCTTTGCATACTAAAGGTAAAAATATGGGATATTCACGATCATTTTTGTTCTTACACTCATTTTCACTTGCAAAATTGTGAGAATCAATAATTTCATGCAAAAATTATTTTTAAAACAGCAACATCGCGACTTTCGTGAATGGTGGACCTGTGAGGAAACCGATAGTTGATCCCCATTTCCTCTAGAAATTATCACAGCGACACTGACAATTCCTCGGCACATTAGGAATTCCTATTTCTCAGTCATTGGACACTGCTGACTTTTCGATATTTAAAATAATAATAAAATTTATTTATCAGTTTTTTGTTACATAAATAAATAGGTAATCTCTCAAGTTGACTTCTCTATTGTTGTGCGTCTATCATCGAATCCACATTTGAATAATAGAATTTTCATATGCATTTCTTGATATCGAACATGTTGATGGTAAATGTTCGGTTAACCATTGAATAAATTCATCGTTTACTGATGATATTTTTCTATGAGTCCATTTATCTTCTTTACATTGGCATACTAACGATTGAAGATTTTTCATATTTTTAATTAAATCGTTTACATTATTTCGGTCATTTACATCAACAACAAGAGTTTGACATTGTCGTCCTAATGATGAATTAGCTAATGAAAGACATTGTTGTTTATCGAAATACCAACTGTACAGCATAGATTCTTTTGTAAAAAATTCCAATCGACGAATTGAAGCGTTGTGAATTTCAAATAATCTACTTTCTAAATCCGATAAATGAGAAAATCTTAATAAATGAAGACGAGGTGCACGATCAAGTAATAACTGTAATTGATCGTAGACAGTGTCGCCAGGTAGCAATGTAACATCAAGAGATTTTAATCGATCTAATGATGGAATATTGCATAAAAATTGCTCATTGAAAGGAAGAAATATTTCCAGATGAGAAATATTTGAAAATTGAATAGGAAAATAAACGAAATGATTTGATGCAGTACTTTCAATTTGAAGAGTTCGAACATGATTATAACACGAAAAATCGTGTTTATTTGGACACGTTGATTTCGAATTAGATTCACTGATAAAATTCAAGTCATCAAAAGCATATGGTAAAGTATAAAGGCTAGCCTGATTGAATGCATTGGATGGATTCCAATCGCATCGAACAAACCATCGATGTTTTATTATCCAAAAATGTGTTTGAAATGTATCGAGTAATTCATCAATTTTGCATTCTATATTATTGCCTTGACGAAAATGAAAATCCATTTTTAATCGAAACAGTTCAACTTTTGGTAAATATTGACTAAGAATATTCTGCCATTCATGTCCATTGAGTATTAAATATGTTGTAGTCAACGTTAAATAACGTAGATTACACAATTGTTGAAAGAGATTCATCATCGTTTGTATCGAACCACGAAATGACAGATGTAAGCCAATTAAAACTGACGTCCTAATATGAAGTTTTTCATTTTTCTCAGTAGATATGATTGCTGCGTTAAATCGTTCAAGACAAGGTGTTTGCTCGAGAACATAAGTTAGAGAAACCAAATCACAGATTATATTTTTCATAGAAAGATATTTTATAGATGTTGATTTTACTGAAAGTTTAGAGAAATATAGTCCGTTCGGCATTATATCATCTATATGACAGTTGATTAGTTTTGGTAGACTCCAAATATTGTTAACTAAATAGTTTTCTTCATTATTAAAAACACATTCAATTAATTTGAGATGCGTCAGATACGAAAGACGATGGCATTGTACTAAGATTTTGCTCAGAACGTCGTGAGATTGAATTAATTGAAGTGAAAGTGATTTCAGATGAACAAATTGATCAAGAGTAAAATTATAGGATAGAAAAATTTCAGGAAGATTTGGCGTTTCATCATCATCGGTTAAATAAAGCGAAATAATTTTATCAGTAATTGATGGCAGATGTAGTTGACAAACTGTTGTAAAATTAGTTTTTGATACTGATCGAAAATCCAAACGGTAAAGTTTAAACGAATCGTTAAGGAACTTGTTAAATCGAGCATTTAATCCATAGAAAGCACCAAGAAGATGGAGAGCATCGAGATATTCGAAGATCTCGAACAGCATTTCATTCGGTAAACTTTCAAATTTCATATTCATAGCAGCACCGAATACTTTTATATAAGAGAACCAATAATCATCATATACATATATTTTATTTTATTTATTATCATTGTTTTTTTGTTGAATAATATCCATCGAATAGAAAATAAAAAACGATTCTCTTCCATTTTTTCATGGACGCCCTCTATCGTAATCTACTTTCTATATTCAGTGTAGTAAATCATCTGACTATTTCAGATCATCCGATAAGATGATCAAATTTTGTAGGATCATACTGTTAATGTTGTCTGATGTTATTATATTAAACAGAGATCATGCGAAAAACTTTTTAGCTACCTGCATCGATAGAACAAAACTTTTATACATTTTTTATAATAAAGCTTCATGTCAACGTTTTAACAAGACGTTTTTTTTGCACGATTTTCGCTTAGTCTTACAAGATTAGAGAGTTCGAGAAAAATAATGCCTATTGATATGTTATCTAGATGAGAACTGACTCTTTCTTTGAGTATTATCATACAATAAATTTTGTTTTTGCATAATATAGACGTACGACGTATGTGGAAAGGACCATTTTTCTTCTACCTGAAATATTTTTGTATTTTGTTCTACAATGAAATCAAAGATCATTTATAATGATATTCCTACGACGATGTTCCAGTAAATCTTATTTGTAATTTTTTTGTAAGGTTATACACGATGGACTGACTAATCGGTTGAGAGCTGTCTAAAAACGAAATATCTTGATAGATCATCAGGAATTGCATTCACTGGGATTTTGAAAAAAGAATTTGAACTGTTTTGAGAATCAGGAAAGATTATTTACTATCCTTATCCTTCAAATTATTCATAAACTATCGATTTCTGACTACCGAAAAGCCTTCAATGCTTCATTGTTTAGATCTATGTTCGAGGAAATACAAATTGGATAACTTAAGTTAGAATTTTTTAAAATTTCGTGTTGCTACATGAGCGTACTCAAAATGTGATCTATAACTGAGTGACAAATAGTAATCTTAGTCTTTCGAATCAGTGAATAGATTGGTGGTATAGGTCGACGGTCATCTTTCGTCATTAGATTTATTTTTTTTTATATCGGAAAATAAATAATCAAACGTATGATCTCGATTTTGAATGCTAATCGATAAAATTTCATATTTAATTTCAAACATGAAACTGACTAAATTAATACAATACATTTTAATTAAATATTAGGAATGCAAGTGGAATTTTTTCTGAATATTACTAGAATCATCTCTAGTCAATGAGACTCAATGATATCGAACAAGTTTTTCATGTCTTATTAATTAGAACGACGTTTGAAATAAATCGAGCAAGTCATCTATTTGTTTTTCTACGCTATTTCGAAACGAAAAATTGACGGTAATTTTTAGATTGGGTAGCCTTTGGGAAAATAAATTTCATCGATGTTACGAATCCTTTATGGAATATCTAGAGATTTCTTTCATAGACACTGCGAATTATAAAGACAAAAACTTCAACTTCTTTGAAAGTATAAAACAGATTTCCTTCGAATTATCATTTTACTAACTGAAAAATAAAATATTCTAAAAAATGCATTGATATGTCATAGGTTTCGAAAGCCAAATGAAGACATTCCTCCATGGATTTCATTCCATCACGTGCTGTTTCATCACTTAATGGCATCGCACCAACACACACAGCCAAATGTCAGATTTTATCCAATGGCCATTCGATTGTGTTTCATTAATGATTCAGCGGAAGAATTACCCTGCAAATAAAACCTCACTATTGGCTTTCATTTAGTTTATGTTTTCGATGTAAACGAGTATAATATTATCGTGGTGAAGAAAAATAAAGTATTACGCGATTATAGAATTGTATGTACAATCAGCCGTGTGATACTTCATTAGCGTTTGTACACATTTTATTTGTGTATAATGGTATAGACGATCGAAAGCCATCAAACTTCGATTAATAGCTGAAACGCTTGATTGGACAAAAAACAACGCACTCAATCGACAAAGCTGCATCTTTTGCAACTCTGTGAGCTAATCTATTCTAAAGATAGTAGGACTAGTTTCACGAATTTTAAGTGTTCTCTTACCATATCAGGGCTGTTTTTCGTAGAAGACATATTCTATCAGCGAACGTTTCCCTGCTGTGTTATGGCTCATGTAGTGATAGTTGTAATAAAAAAAACCTGTGCCGAATTATTTATCACAAATAACTACGACAGGATATGAGCGAAAAAAATTTGAAATAAATATCGAATTATAAAATTTATTAATAAATCAGTAAGAAAATCAATCATAAGTGAATAAGAATGAATAGCAGCAAAGTAGAAAAGCTAATAAAAAAAGTTTTGAAATATTTAGAAAGCATACTGAATAAACGATGTTTTTGATGAAGTAGGACATGAAGCCAATACAATCATTAGTATCGGTAAATCGACTTGTTATGTTGTGATTGATATTCTGCTGATTATGAATAAAAATGTTGCTATTAATGCCTTTCCTGGATCTGAGCTAGGCACACAACTGTAATATCGCTGTACTTCAAGAATATCAATAGGACTCATGACAATTCGCTGTCCAATAGATGCAAATGGATCCTTCGTAGGAATGATTGTTCGTAAGCCATTATTAGTAAAGGCATTTGGACTATAATGCATAATGGATCCATAATCATACGGAGTTTGTAGAGTATCAATTTCGGTCTCAGTGTATTTTTCAAAATTTGGTTTCATATCTATAATTTAATGAAATAACGCTTCTCAATTCAATAGCTATTCTTCACTTGACTGAATATTTGACCATTGAATTGATACGTAGGAATCACGATCAGGTCGCGATTGCTCATGAAAAAACCCTTGATAGAAAAAATACAGTGAATTGATCAATTATATTGTCAATATTAACCTAAGATGTGAAGTAATTCGTGTTGAATAACACCTGAAATCATACAAGTTAGAGACTCTGCATGCATTAAATTGAGATAATGCGTTACTTGGTAACCATTCCCAGCACCAACCTAAAATCATATAGCACAGTACTGAATGGAGTCTGCTGTACGAAGACAGCTGATGATACCGACAGTTGCTGAACAACCAGTAGAGTTTTGAATGATGATATATTTAGAATCAGACTCTGTTCTCGGACGAAATTTTATACAATCAGTGTCGTTCACTCTCGTTAGATTTTCCATCAGTCTCATGGTATCAACGATAAGCGCAGAATGATCTGCTACTGTAAAACAAGATATTATCTAGTCGAAATAAAAAAAAACTTCGATCAATAGAATACAAACATATGCTTGGCGTCATGAGATAAGGGACAGTTCCATCGATCCATCGTTGATATGATGCTCGAGCCGCAGCTCCTCTCTTTTATTTTTCAATAGAAAATATTTATTCATTTTTCAGTTATATAATTCATACCGTTATTGGATAAGGAAAAATCATATCATCTTCGAATCGGTTTGCTAAATAAAACAATAAATAGAATCACGAAATTCTCACAGTACTAACCCATTTCTTCTGATTGCTGATTCTTGCTCTAGAATAAGACGATAGATTAACATGATTGATAATTAATGACTTACAAAAAGAACGGGAAATGCATCAAGAACTATTGCAACTTTGATCAGCAGATAAAAAATGTTTCGAGACAGTTTCATCGCCATTATTATTTTCTGGCTTTTGAAATGGCAAATATAGTTTTCAAGAGCAAATATTTTCTGCAAATATTGCAACTATCAGATCAAGTGTATGGATTTTGGTTTTCTTTTTCAGAACTTCCAGAATAAATTTTAAAAAGCTTCCTTTTTGTTCGATGATGAAGTGAAAATTGACAAAAGTATCAGATATCTGTGCACTGCTGATTCATTCTATTCGTTTTACGCACTCTGTCTTCGTGACACTAGCAGAACGAATCGATTCGTTGCATCTAGTTTTCTATTGGAGTTAAATAAAAATTTATTTATCTACAGAACTAAATCTTTTTTTTATCGAACTCTGTCAAAATCAAATCTCTATTAAATAACCTTAAGGACCAAGCTAGCGAAAATTTTTATTTGATAATTGCTTCATTTCAGAAATCCCCATTGCATTCGAAAACCTAGCGCTGTGATTTTACAATCAACAAAACACAAGCCGTTGATGTCATGTCGGTGATTTTGAAAATCCCTGGTGTCAAGTTTCACTCCCGCTACCATAGTTGACTAGTGCTCTTATTTCTAGTTTATAAAATAATCCACCTCGGAGTGAAATTTGAAAATACTCCGATATGCTACGTAGTATTGAATAGCATCTTTCTTTGAATACGAGTTAACGATCTTCATTTTATCTTGCTGCAAATAAATTTGAACAGTTAGATTTTAACTTTTTCATAATCTCTTGAACATAAAAATCTTGTTACTCAAAGACGATAAGAGAACAATTTTTTTTACAAAACAGAATAGTATTGTTAGAAGACGATGAATTTTCCTGAAAATATATTAATTTTAATTGTGACAAGTTCTTGTACATAAAATCTGCTCGATTTTAATTTACAAGCATATCTAAATGCTTTATGGTGGGTATATGTTATCAGTATTACTTCACTTTAGTGGGATCAAATAAAATAAATATGTATGATTTTCAAATTGAAAACTGGTAACAATGATCATCATTCGCTTAGAATTCAAGCGTTGTTAGCGAAAGAATGGAACAAAAGAGTTCATGAAGAAAAAGAACTGGATAAATATTTTATGATACTTTGATTCGTCCTACTGCGAGACAAAACTAATTCTCCTAGCATCGTCACGTTTATATGTCCTGCTTTTTTTTTTTTATAAAACTTGCGTCTCCAATCAAGTTATTTTAAAACTGACAATATGTCACTTTCAATTTAACGTACACATTCATCGCAGGTGTAGCCGATGGTCTTATAGTACTATAGTTTTTCAATCTAACTCATTTTGCTTGTGTTTTTAACGTTCGAACTAAGTATATTTTTTATCGGTAGTGATTATAATATGAATACAATGGCAGAAATCTTGAAAGAACGAACATTTGTTAATTTCGATTCTCGTACAGAAATTATGCAGAATCTGTGCTGCAAATCTGAAGAAAATAATGAATATACGAATTATTGTCAGTCATTGAAAATAATGCGACTACCTACATTCGTATTGTCAACAACATGGACAGGCATCATTGGATGATTGGCTACCGATTTTGGTAGCGAATGAATATAAGATTTCTTGAAAATATTACTAACGACTGAACGTTGCCCTATACCTGTGAAAGTGGCAGTGTGCCTTTCTTTTAATTTGCGATGCAATTCAAAGATTCTGGCAATTTTAAAATACCTAAACACGACTAGCAAAGTTGAACTCTCAATGAAGAAGAGCAGCTTTGACGTCATACAAAAGATGTTTAATAAATAAATATTTTCGGATCTATCCATTTGACATATACAATCTGTTAGATTTATAATCATCACATGTTACTTCTGTGGTCAAACGAAACTAGTTCGTTTCAATCAATGATTTATACAATAGCTATCATAAATAGTTTCGATAATAACTCGTAACGAATTTTTTTTGTTTAATATCCTATTGACATTAACCATGGAGTATAGGAAATAAATTGAATTGTTTTTCTTCCTAGGATTCTTCATAGTGCCATACATCAAGCTCAACCATTGAAGCATAGTCGAGTTATAGCCATTCGATTACGTGTTTCAAGTTTATTTGAATGAGCCACTTCATTTTGAAAAATTAAATATAAATTACGATTGGATAATATAGTCGCAACGAATTGTACGGTCACTGTATTTGCCGTAACTGTAGTTGCGTATGAATTAGTCACAGCTGCAAACATTTTCACATCCTTTCTGTCAAATTTGAAAAATCGCACAGTTAAATTGTCTCCGAAATCCGATTTATAAGTACTATTGGCCATTTTCTGAAAGGAAACTGAATAAGAACAGCTCGTTTCAACAAAATATCGTAAATTCGATGAGTTCAACTTTATCTGTTCAGTTTCTGTCAGATTTTTAGCACCACCCATCTTTCACAACAATCGGCAAAGCTAGTGCCGCCATGAAATTCTAGAATTTCTTTTCCGCTGAATAATTCAGAATAAAAACTGAAGTTGATCGAAATTCTTTTTTCCAATTAAATTCATTCAAAACAAACGTAAATTTTAAAATCCATTTAGAAAAGCAAAAAAATTCCTTCAGCGTCTCTTAATTCCTTTATGGAATTCACGGTTTTGCCCACCACCATACTCATGACTCTCATCAGGTCCATGTCGTCCATGGTTGTTAAAACGATTGCGTTGCTGACTAGGCGGAAGTCCATGCGGATGATGTCGCTTAAATCTATGCTCTTTTGCAGGAGCTTTACAGCAGTTGCCCATCTTTCGAATGTTTATTTTATTTGACTGTTTATAACAGCAAATTATGTGAGTAGAGTAGGGTAAGAATAGAAAATAAAATAAAACCAAGGCCAAATTGTTTTTGTTTCACTTCTCAAAGAAAAGCAAGTCAGTTATTTGCAACGCATCCGATGGCCTTTCTGTGTTTCAATAATATAGAAGCAAACTGTTTCTTGAAAACGTTGTATCTTTTATAGCCCGGCTGTATAAAGTGAGTGATATTGGTTGGAGGGGCAGACGAACGCATATCCATTGTGAACATAGATGTTAATGGAAGGGGGACTAATGTGCTCATAGAAATTAAGAGCTTATACGCAACTTTTACATGATTGTTTGATTTTTTTCTCCATGTCATTGCAAGCAAAGAATAAAAAAAATATTTTGAAGTTTAAAGAACAACAAAACTAAATAAAAATAGTGAATTTTTTTCCACGCGAAAATCTCTTTCTCGTAGCCGCCTCCTATGAACATGTTAATAGTGGGAAATTGCATTCGGACGTTCTTTTTTAATGTGGATCACACGATCAACAAGTTACCAAAATATGTTTTATCTCTCAAACGACTCTGGTTTTCAGAAATTTGTGAATGTTCTCAAAAATATTACTCCCTAAAGAGATCTAATGTTGACGAAATTGCAAATGGCTATCTTCTAGTTGAAATCACTTTTAAAGATTGCATAAGATCTACAAAAATTTGAAAATTTATTCGGCCTAATTCATATTCGTCAGAATTTGTATTCATACAACAGCGATTCCATATAAAATATCTTTTACGATAGTTTTTGATCTAAAATTTCCTTAATTATTATTATTCATGCAAATTCAGAGACACAGAGAGAGAAAAAAAGAAAGAACACCGCCATAAAAAGCTAAGTATAGCCTGCAAAAATATACGCGCGTATCTTAATTGTTTTTAAAGAACAATAGAAAAAAAAAAGAATGATTAACTAGAACATGAACGAACTGAATGTGTCGTTGTTCCGTTAATAAAGCACAAAAGAAAAGTTTCGAATCATAGTTATTATGGTTAGTGGTACATCAACCAGCTAATGCATTTTAGCATTTATCCATCGGTCTTATACTGGGGTGGCTGGAAAACGAATGGTGAAACTCCCTCTAAGACTATTCCGTACTGATAGACACGGCTGTAATCTTTGCCGTAGCCATTTTGAAGTACTTGAAAACGATATGGCTCGGCATTCGTTACCAGTTTGCCTTTGAAAAACACATGATTGAGGTCTTTGGCATAGCCGCCACCAAGTACTTGGAAAATATAGGGTTGAGCTGGTTCTACTATGATGCCATCATAATATATATTAGTACGGCTTTTACCTGGAATGATTAGAATAGGCATTATGAAAAATTTTTAAAGTTCGAAATGGAAAACAAACCATAACCATCTCCTAAATCTTCAAAGTCTACTTGACTAGTTTTCTGAACAAATTGGTTACCACAGAAAACGTAGTTGTTTTTCTTTCGATAAGATGTTTTAGGTTTTAGCACTGTAGCCATGGTGAACTAAATTTCTATATTTTTATCTTAAAATCAGAGTAACAAAGTAAAAAATAGATTATGACAAACAAAACAAAATAAAACATTATACTCTAACTATCAGTCATAGCATACCTATATGGCCAGGTTGGGTGTGAGGAATTGTTCAATAAACAAAGTTATTTTATTCAGATTTTCATTGTATGAATTTATATATATTCGCAGTCTAAGTTTGCCTACAACATGTATACATATATATATAATTATATGCGGCCCGTGAAAATATCACCATAGAAACAGAACAATATTCATTAGGAAAATAAGAAAAATATAAGCCTTGATTTGAACGGAATCCTATGAAATTGTGTTGTATAAATATAATATAATTATTTCAAGTGAATATCAAAGATTTTCCCCCACCTACAACTGCCTTTCTTTCATGCAAGATCAAATAGAAATATTATAATATCTTTGAACTCCTTATTGTTGATACGCATTGATTAAAACATTATTTAATCATCCAATCCTACTTCCGCGTCAACATACCGGATTATTATTTGCTCCCAATCAAGCAGAAGCAATACTTTCCAAGACAATTGTGTCTTTTATTTCATTGTTTTCTACTTTATGAAACACGATTGTTACTGTCTGTTGCAATGAACAATAAGAAAAACTCCTCCAAGTCACCACTCTGTTCGACTGTCCGTGACATCCATAATAATATTGAGATGTTGCATATCTTCGCATATATTAATATTTAAGTAAAAGCAATATTCCGATCGACGGTCTTTTGACCCCATCTAATGTTATCGCATGTAATTATGCTAAAGTATGTTTTGTAGCTTATGCAGATGCAAATGGATTTCCGACATACGCGACTTAATATCTCAGTCAACTATGACAGGTTGAAAAAAATCTGTCGATCTTAGTTAAATAAGTTCATGGTATATATTTTTATCGTTGATAGACTTACTTTTATCTTGTCCGCTGCTTTGGCAAGTATTTTTCTGTATATATAACTTCGAAATTAACTGATGTCCTTGATGCAAAGAACATCAAATAATATTTTTCGAGCTTGCATCGTTCGTGTGCCAATAAATTTCATTTGTTTTAGAGAAATAGCTAGTGTACATTTACCTGTAATGTTTGCGTGTGCTAAAAGCTTGAATTTTGTCAAAGCATTGCAAGAGCTCTTTCTTTTTTGTGTACGGGTGAAACTTCAAAATAGAAAAGGTGTGTAGATGAGACATGCTTCGTGCTTTCAAATATTTGATTCTGTGCTATTCTTCAGAGAATCAATCGTCGCAGAAGTCTACTCGAAGCGATTTAATGTTTACATAAGTGCTGTACAAGAGAGGGAACGTTTTTGATTACTATTCTCCGTCGAAAAAAAATCATGGTTACCATACATTAGGAATAATTTTTCATTACTCGGCGACATCACTCATAGAGGCAATGGAAAGAAAATGTTGTGTAGGTTTTTTTCTGTGAGAGAAATATACATAGCCCAGAATGTCAGAAACATGACAACGTTATGTGCTTGCCGACGATAATTTTTACGTTCTCTTCGTCTGAAAAACAATATTCAAACAAAAATAGAACCACTGCATAAAATACGAGACAAACTGTTGAGCAGCTATTTATTGTCGTTGAATTAAAATTATATTTTCTGAACTTCACATGAACGATGTGTGGGTCTGTGTTGCATATTTACAAACCTCGAAGTTTATCTTCGCTGTAGTCGACAATTATAATTTGGGCTAAAAAAATAATAGGAAGTTTTTCTTTCCGAATTTCAGGTTTCTATTCATTCTCTATGAGTTGATATTGAATTTCCTTTCATGCTAATTCGTGGTTCTTGCTTACCATGACGGCGGTGGAGACGGGCAGTTTTGTTGAGAAAAAAGAAGCAAAAAACTGGTTGCATACACATTTTATTGATCAATATCTACCAATGGTGGTTAGTGATGGCAGCATTACATAGTGTACGTCCCATTCGCAGAAGTCCATCAATTGTCAAAGTACCTACATGTAAAATTAATGTGCTGAAGCAAATTTGGAAAGAACTGTCTTACATATCACATCCATTCGGCATGAATCGTACAAAAAACTGAAAGTAGATCAAATCAAGACCAGTGTATTATATTTTATCAAGATAAAAATGTTGAAAAAAATTTCGCGATATATATGGTTTAAATTCGCCAACTTTGAGAAATACCTTTCAAAAACTATTTGTCAACAGTTGAATAGGATATAATAGATAAAAAGACAAAACATCAATTTTTAAGAAAATCGAATCCGTATACGGTTAGAGGTCAATCCATAGAATATGTAAAGAGTGTTAAATACCTAGGTGTAACAATTGCAACAAAATTAGGGTGGAACTTCTTTATTAGTGATAGAATAAGAAAAATAAGAAAAGTATAACAAGGAATGAAAACAATGTTTCATACAATACCTAGAAACAATATTAAGATGAGAAAACAAATTTTCTCAGCGTTTGCCATGCCTCAATTTCTCTGGCTATTTTCAACTTGGGTTTTCTATTTGGATAAGCAAAGAAGATATATCGAACACGTATATTGTTCACGCGTAAGTATTGTCTATTTACTACAGAAATGATGAGATGAAACAATTCTAATATTAAGTCAAGAATAATCTCTTCTTGACTATCTATATTCCTACTGGACGAAGTTCAGTATACATCTAGAAATATCACCAGATGCTCTAATATTTCAACAGACATGACGGGCCTATGAAATAATAACATCTGCAGATATAAGTTGGTTTAAAAGTATGGGATTCAATAAGCGTAGTACTTTTCCAAACAGACTTATCAAGAGAGCACATCATTCATTAGATGAATGCAAATCCTTCGAAAGGATACACGAGGAATAGCTAAACTATTTCAAAAGTGATACTAATCTCCTCAACTTATTCGTTTATAAATATTTCCAATGTAATAAGCACTTAACATCAACATATCAATCTTCCACTGTAACATATACCAAAATGAAGAAATACAGGATATTCTATTCAAATTACAATTTCGGTTGCCACCACGTTCTCTACACTACTCTATCTTCTTTTGTTGCGTGTTATAACTATGTGTCACTCTTTTTGTGTATCTTTTTCTTATCTAAAAATGAATTTCGTTCATCTCAGAGAGAAAGACTATTATCACTGGAAGTCAACCAGCTTTTAATGAAAATTGACTTGTAAAAACAAAGCCTTCTCTTTAGCTTACTTTTTCTTTATTCATTTTTATATGTACTAGAACCATTCAAGGCACAAATAAATTATTAGTGAATTAAAAAAAAAGGATGATCAATTCTGTCAAAGTGCGCACTCTATCGGTTATCTTCGTAAACAACAGCAGTGATACAACACGTATATGGTGATATATGAAGCATGACAATACGCAAAGCGCAGAAAGAAAAAATTACTATTTCGGTAACTTTCGCTAGTATGACCATATACTTATTTCTAAAAACATGCGACGAATACCTCATGGATCGATAAATGTTTTTATTTTTTGATTTCAAATATTCAAGAATTTTTCGGATAGCCGTTATCCGCATATGATATAGAAATGCTGCATAAACGATTTTGGCTGTTCTCTGTTTTATCAAGAGCACTACAAAAGAGGTGCAACTAGTACGATTGGTATTAATGTCAATCGACTTCAAACTAGAAAACGTTTCGCTTACACGAATCCCCATTTCTCTAGAAAAAAAGTATTACAGATGTAAGGTAAAACGTTTTAGCTAATATTTTATATTGCACGCTAATAAGATCACTGATTCGATGAAAATTTTCGATATCGACGTCATTCAGCAGCTTTTTAAATTCTACTTGAATCCTCTATACTTGATATAAATTCGTTGAATGTTATCTGTGAGTCCATCCAATCGCAATAAATTGTTCGATCTTAAAATCCCATATTGACTTATCGCTGCTACTCTAATATTAATCACTGAAACTAACGTACTATCATTAGCATAGTTTCTAATAGAACTGTAATGATACAGATTTCTACTTCGTACGAGAATATATTTCTCGGTTACTACTGATGTCGTTGAATCATAAAAGTCTGTTACGCTTTAGATTACTACTTCTCAAGAAAACATGATGATCCAGGTCATTAACATATTTAAAAAAAGTGTTCGTTCATATTATGGAATCAAATTATTGGTGCGTCAACGAGCGCTGTTTGCAGTCGCTTTCACTTTAGTATTCATAATAATTGCAATTATCATCAAAAACATCGCATGGGAAATGTATTTACTCATTCCTCAACACCCATCACAATCATGGATGGATTCACGAGAGCAAGCGCTCGTTGTCCAATATCTTCAAAAATTCAATCAAACAGCGAGACAAAAGCAAATGTAACAAGATAAGACACTTGTAAAATGTTATTTTTCTAATTTTGAGGGGTGTCCAAGGACTGAGGATTAGGAAATCCTGATCAGTTTTCATACAGTTCCTTCCATCCTAACAGCAGTGTCACATATCCAAAATTTTGGAGATGCCACCACATCTCCCNGTCACGTCTCCAGCGGGAGACGCGGCATCTCCTGTGGGAGATGTGGTTGCATCTCCAAAATTTTGGATATGTGACACCACTCCATCCTAAAGATAAGCATATGGAATATTCACGATAATTTTTGCTCTTACACTCATTTTCACTTGAAAAATTGTGCGAATCAATGATTTCATGCAAAAACTATTTTTAAAACAGCAATATCGTAACTTTCGTGAATGATGGAACAGAGAGGGAACCTATAGTTGATTCCCATTTCCTTTAGGAATTATCACAGCGGCACTGACAATTCCTCGACACATTAGGAATTCTTATTTCTCCGTCCTTTGACACAGATGGAGTTTTCTAAATATATGTGAGCGTTCTTTTTCATTTTAAAATGTTCATACTAAATGAGAATATTTTCTTTTTGCTTGCTGCAGTGGATCCGGGGCAACTATGCTTGAATATGGTGCAGGAAGTAGCACATTTGTTTATAGTCACTACGTTCATCGTTATGTGAGCATCGAACACAACATGGATTATTGTCGTATACTAGAACGGATGGCTGCTAGTCAACCGAAGCGTTCGATCATTATATCTTACATGACATCTGGTTCATCTGGATTTATCGAGACCATTCGCTTTAAACAAAATGTACTAGTATCGAGTGGCAACCCTTCTATTCAAATTTATTGTATTATACCTACGAATGCAATGCTATTTCGTCGATTCTGGCATATGGATGGACGAAGTACCTATTCAATGTATCAAAATTATGTCGATTTTGTTTCAACCTATCTCCATGATCAGTTGTTTGACTTTGTTCTTGTCGATGGGCGAGCACGACCTCAGGTAGCCTATGTTGCCTTGAAACATTTGAATGGGCTACATGCTAAAGTATTCGTACATGATTGGAATGAACGCAAAGGTTATCATGTGATTGTAGATGAATTTTATAATATTGTTAGTCAGCAAATTGAAAGCACTCAAGTAGGCGGTGGAGGATTGGTTGTCTTGGAAAGAAAGTCTGACGTTATAGGAACAGCAAAGATTGCTGAAATTCAATGGAAGAAAAGTAAAGAACCGAGCTGGTGGCTGTAATACTGGTGATTATCTTATAAATATCTTTCAAAATATCAAAAAGATATCGTGAAATAATTGAATCATTTTCATTATCTAAGAGAACAGGATGAGTCTTTTTTTAGTTAATTATTATACAAATGTGTCTAACAAACTTAATAGTTTTTCCTTCACATATTTACAGATGAACATATTCGTTTCTTGAGAACAATACTCAGGCATCAATGCTTTTTTCATGTAGCATCATATTTGTTTTTCTTTCTTTGCTTATTAACAAAAGCAAAATAAATTAATTTTAGTATGAACAAAATACTCTCCAGTTTAACGAATCAATATGCAACACATACGGCAAGTAGCCGCCATGGTTGAGTGGATATGTTATTCGACACATTCACAAGGCACTGTGTTCAAACCACAGTGTCACCAACCATGAAATAACCCTGAACAAGTTACTAACGACTAATTGTTCCGGATGACTCATCCGATAGCGTATCGATTATATCATTAGTCAGTATACAGAGTCGAAATAATAACTTCAACACAGATGTCACGGCAACGTGATCCTATGATGATCACCAGCCCATAATCATTAACGGGGGACGAATGGGGTGCAGGTACTGTCATCTGTAAAAGAGAAAAAACGATGGAACCTGGCTGCTTGTGAATCCTTTAGCGCTGGCTCCTATGGGCGATAAGCCTATTGGAGATATGATTATTATTATTATTATTGTTTACATACGGCATAGTTCTTCAATATTTTTAGTCCCATATAATTGTCTAGACAACATATTTTCAGCGAGATATTGTGTTGTCAGATCAAATAACGTGATATAATATGAAAAAGACGATTACGTTCCTATCTTTTCCAAATCAACGTTTTTCATGTATAATTTATCGTTCACAGTAGTGTACTGCTTGATTGATATTTTGGATCAGGATCACGATCACGATCACGATTTTTTTGGAATGAAATACACGAACACGGTCACGAATTTTACGTAGTATTGGAAGGAAAGAACATTTTTTCATCATTCGACGGTGCCGTCTATGAGGGCGTGTGAATTTCCTAGTCACGCACACACACCTACATCCAAATCACAATGATAACGAACATTTAGTAAATGGTGTAAGTGAAGATGATGTTCAACAAATTATTTAATGATGAAATATCTTCACTTTTTTCTCAGTTTTGCTTTTTTTTTAACATAGTATTTCATTATCTAGTGTATTTTCTTTGTTTGCTGCCCACAGTAAATGTGTACTATCAGATATTCTTCTGATTTAAATATGAATATTATATTCTTGAAATAAATATTTGAGACTTTGAATCTCAGTGTATATATTACAATCGTGAATCAAACGTTTCATTTTCGATCACGAACACGAACACAATTTTTTTCCAATCACAATCACGCAGCCCACTACTTCACAGGGATGTCATTATCAGTTTTCTGTCTAAGAGGATTTGTCCATCCTCGATATTACGTCATCAGTTTTATGAAGTTCCTTGAGCTACGTAATATGATGATAAGAAAAAGATAAATATCCAGTGAATCCTTTTTCACTTTTTTAGGGATGCAAGCTAATGGCATTGGTAAACTAGTTAACCGATATAATAATCTTTTCAATTAATGTTTATAGTAGTTTATACTGAATTAGTGTAACGGAATGAAAGAAAGAAACAGAGTTTTAATCACTAGAACCAATTTAACGACACATAAAATTCAAAATACAGTACAGTATCTACTAAAAATTAATTTCAGCATATATACTCTCTGAAATTGTTTTGAAATGATATGGTTTTCCTGTCACTTTGACTCTGTTGTTTTACAACAATAAGAGAGAATTAATGATCCTTCGATAATTCATAAAAGCTATGACATTAAAGAAGCCTTTCCCGACAAACAAAAAGGTATTAAAATGAATTCACGCCCCATTCACGTGCGTATTTGTCAACATGTTTAATGCTAATGGGTATTATATTTTTGCCTCTGACTTTTTCTACCGATTTGTATGACTGCAAGTCAGAATTGGCTGCATCTTTACAGTTCATCCATTAGTGAACCTGTTATTACTTTTTCTACTGCGAAGATTTAAAAGGAAAAAAATTAAAAAACCGGCAATTTTGAAATTTAGCCGTACATCAATTTAATTTACAACTCTCGAAAGATATGCCCAATTGAGTATCTAGAAGCTTCTTAGAAGTCTTAACTATTTTTAGTAGCACATGTTAGTCTGATTTGATTGCGAAAAGATTCACTTGTATATAAAGTTCGAACGGTTTATTGTCGTACACTGGTATTCCGGTTGGAAAATTTTCGCATTTTTCCGGTGATTTCCGATCAATTCCTGCCGGAAAGCACTGAAATTTGGCAGGAATTCGCCGGAAAAGTCCGGCCACATTTTTGACCGGAATACCGCTTTCATGTTCCAGCGGTTTCCCTTGTTTTCCTGCAGGATATGGTGAATTTCCCGCATATTCCCTGGAGTATCCTACGAGATCCGGTGGTCGGAATGTTCGACCTAGGATTGACTGAAATCGATGGATCGTGAGCAAAATAATTCTATCAGTCCATATCGATTCGCGTTACAGTCATTATATGGTGAACGTCGATAGGCAATATTTCTGTCCGTAGCTTATTGGTGAACATTTAACACAATAATTTAAACAGAATGCTATTGTATTAGGTTCATTGAATATATACAACGTAGTGTATAATGTTTCTAAGCATTGGCATAAGCCCAGCAGAGACTATAATTGATCATCTTCTGTTTGCTGAAAATATTTCTTAGATTGAATTCATCTTTACAACAATCATAGAATCCCTGTAATATCTCAACAGTTGCTTAATCAAAATTTCAATGAAATGTTCTGGAAATAACGTGACTATTTAAATTAACTTGCTTTCTAAGCCTTAAAAAATGCACATTGATAAAACGGGGCGTGTGGATGAATTGTTAGAACATAGACACCGTCAAAAGTGATCAGAAAATATCGTAACTTTTGTATAATATATGTTTTCTTTTCAAATGAAATCTAGTTCCTATTAAAATCTATAAAATGCACTTCATATTGAATCGAATCATTACTATAGATGCGAAATGAAAAACATATGTTGTATGTAATGATGAAAAAAAAGGATCGGAAAACGGTTAAGTAACAATCATAAAATAGCTCTATTACATTTTATTTTCTTCTTCAGAAGAAGAACTTCATCAAAATTACAAGGACACTTCGGGATTCTGAAATTTTTATTCAAGTTTTTTATCTTTCCACTGAGATGATTTAAGAAAACAAAAACAAAAAAAATCTTATATGTATTACATTAAAATCTGCCATGACGTTATTTCGTTTATAGCTATTCAGTTATCCTTCTTTGGGAAATGATTATCACTCTAGACCGCGTCAATCACATCTTACACACAGTAAGGATCAATCAGGTGAAGGTATAACAAGTTAAATTCAAGTACAAAGCTACACTCTCTTCCTTGGATATATCATTTCACAATAGCCGACTGTCGTACTTCCTATTACTATAAATAATGAAATAAAATGTGATATAAAATAAGGCTGTGTTTTTCTTTTTGTTAAATTACATCTCATATTATTGTGTCACACATGTTTTTGATTATTCGATTTATATGCTAATGTGTTCTTTCTTTATAGAATCATTCAATGATAGATGTAGATCGTGCATTTTTTTCTTTTCCAATCTAATGTACACGACTCATCGATATGAGCGTTGGTTTCTCTACAATATTTCTTTCTAATAAAAGGTTGTTGAATCTCAATATGATCTATCTAATGACAAATAACATCTCTATTTTCAGATAAATATGAACACTAAGTATAAGTCACACATATTAAAATTAATATCGTTGATGTGCACGTTTTCTACCATAATATATTTCATTCGAATCGATTTTTTTCCTCTAAATTGGAATCATTCTATAAATCTATCGAATACTACTGTTGAAGATCGCATCGATCTTAATGTTGTTACCAATGATTCTTTTCAATGTGTTAAAACAAAATTACTGCTAAATAAATATCATACGACAGTTTGCGTGCATGACGTAAGAAAAGATACAGATGTTAGCGGTTTCATCGTCAGAACTGGCATATGGGAAGAAACATTAGTTACACGTATCATTCGGATTCTTTCTGCGCATCGTCAGTTAGCATTTATTGATGTTGGTGCGAATATTGGCATTTATACAATGTATGCTGCAGCATTAGGTTGCAAGAATGTGATTGCTATCGAATGTTTTCGTCCTAATATAGAGCGAATTCGTCGAGCCATTCAACTTGAAAAAGCCGAACATCAAGTTATAATTATGGCTCGGGCACTTTATAATAAATCAAACACTTACATATCATTACGAACCAATATTCAAAATAATATAGGTTCACAACAATTGAATATCGAAACATTGAAGAATGAGAATGACTCTCTTGTGGTTCAATCAATGCGCTTCGACGATTTGTTGCCTCTTGTCAAAGAACGAAATATTCGAGAAGCAATTATTAAAATTGATATCGAAACATCTGAACAGTATTTATGTGAAACAGGTGAACAGATGTTCAATCAAATAAATGTGCCATTCGTTATGATGGAATGGGCAAATATTAAAGAAATACCTGCAAGAGCTAATTTAATTGAAAAATTTTTCACTGACCGTGGTTATATTTCATTCAATTCAGAAACATGCGAACCACAAACTGAAAAAAACTACAGACACTGGCATACACAAGATATTTTTTGGATAAAACAGACTTACACACATCTATGCAAATTATAGCGAACAATCTTAGTTGAATTTCAAGTAATAGTTCAGCTTTACCCTAGCCAGTATGTTGCTACAATGAATATTACGGAAAACAATCTAGAATGAAAATAAAATTTGATGTTAAATAAAGATTGCCGATAAATCAGAGGATACAAGAGAAGTGTTCAACAAAATCGTAAATCTCATACTTTAGTTTTACAAGAATTATATATTGATATGAAAAGCAATGGCATAGGATACTCGCTAGTTCTAGGCACGCAAGATTTCGTAATATTGATTGAACATGATAATTACAACGGCGTCAAGGTTTGGTGACGAGTTTTGAAATATCCTTTTTCATGTACAAATCTATAAGAACGGGTTCATAGAAAATTCACTATGGATGATATAGACAATCGCTTTGTTCTCTTCCACTTCGTTGTTCACCTAATAAATTCGCAATCCAAAGAGATTAGTTCTATACATACAATTTTGTTACAATTAGTTAGCTCATTATCCATTCGATTAATAACAATATTCGCTGTTTTCTAAGTCCAATAAATCTATAACCTGATCAAAAAGATATCTCCTGAGAACAAAGATCTTATCGGTATTAAGTTTTTTATTTAATAGTCTTGTAATAGTATTGCAGTCTCTATACTCTAGTGACTAGACAATGTTGCATCACATAGAAATAAACAAAGAACAATACAAAGTTAGTATGAATAAATCACTGGAATAAAATAATACCGCATATAGAAGTTTATTGAAATCATATGTGAATAATCTTCTCACAATAATTTTACATCTCTTTCAGACCATGGCCCACAATGGATTACCTTGTTTTTCTCTTTTATTTTAAACAGCATAAAATTTCATCGATTATTCATCCCAATTATTTATGAAAACATTTATGTTTTTCTTTGTTCGTATGAATTTTTTAAGTTTCTCCTTGCCCGTTCGAGACAGGCTACAGTCATAGATAGAGAGTTCATTGAGTGATCGTTTATGTTCGATCATTTCTTGAATAACATCCGAACTTATGTCAGTAATTCTCTTGTTTTTTGAAAGATCCAAACATTGAAGTGTATTATTGTATCTCTTCAGACAATTGGCAAATATTCGAAGTCCAATGTCGCTTATGTCATTCTTGCTCAAGCAAAGAACCGTCAATTGTGTATTTTTTTGCAGCATTTCCGACAAATATTCAACACCAATATCGGTAATTCCAATTTCTTGTAGGTTAAGGACCTTCAATGCGCTATTATTCATTGCCAACGCTTTCGCAAGAGGTTTCACTCCTTTATCAGCCAGACGATTGCCATAGAGATAGAGCTTCTCTAATGTTGTATTGTGTAGCAATGCTACTGCCAAATTGGCGGCACCGAACAGAGTAATTTTGTTTCCTGGCAACCAGAGTTTACTACATCGCTTTTTGATAATCGCTTCTTGAATGATAGTGCCAACATCTCGATCGCCCAATTCTTGATATCCCAAATCAATCATAGACTCATTCTGTGCATCATTAATGATCTGTTGTACGCGTACGTTCAATTTATGCTTGATGCCTATGCGAATATATAACAAATTAATCAATGTTTTGAAAGGAAACTCTTAGAGTAACGCTTCCAAAAGAAAAATAGGCATAACCAAATCACGATCTATTGAATCTGAATAAAAGTTTTTTTTCTTCTGCCGCACTCAATCATTTCTACTACCATCGAGGAACGATTAGAAATCCATCTCAAACACTATTTACAAAATATCTGATGATTAAAAATTCTTCATGTTATCTATATTCGATTTGTCCGTTCATACTGCTGAGCGTTTCTAGTACGAGTTGATTTGTTGAACTTTCTACTGTGAGCTATTGAAACTGATCAGTATTTGTAAAGAGCACTTGGACTGAAATTATATCTTTTAAACGAGCAATCAAGAAAAAACCTTATTATGTGTCCTCCTATCGAAACCGAGACATACCTGATTGATTTTGACAATTCAACAAAAGATTTTTATGAAGTGCATTAACTTGAAAAGGAGATTGTTCATTATTGCTTGCATTCATTACATCATCGCAGATAAGAGCCAATGCATCGTCGAAAGGCAGATTTGGCTGATCAATATATTCGAAAACATATGTCATAAATTGATTATGTCGTCCGTCTATTGATTTATCTGATATAGTCTTATTTGCTTGGCACGGAAAAATAACTAACGAATTCGTTGGTGCTTCCATGCTAACTAAACCACCAAAATCTAACGAACCTGTCCATCCGGTAATATGATGCATATGATAACTACGGCAAGCATCTAACATGAATATTACTGATGATGGAGAACAATTCATGATTGACTTCAATGTATCTTGAGCATTTACTGCTTGATATTTAAACATGGATGGATCAGTAATTTGATTGTCATCGATAGGTACTAAAAAATTCTGATCATTCCAGTGAGCTCCATAACCGGAAAAGAAGAAAAAAACGATATCACCATCACATATATCTTTTATAAATGTTTCGACTATCGATTCCATTTCATCACAGTTCAGATCTGTACCAAGAGTCGTTTGAAAATGAATTGCACATAACTTAACATATAAATCTTGCGCATTATTAGTACAATATTGTAGAGTTTTTCCTTTTTTATAATTTTTATTACCAATAACTAGAGCACGTCTTCTACTGGTTACGTTTAACGATATTGTGGATGCACGGTCCATTATCTAGAGTGAATATGGAAGATTTAATTATATTCGTATGTTTCAATTTGATAATATCAATGTTGATGTTGCTGTTGACAGACTCCAACTAAAATACGGGATACTGAATGGAAAAAATCAGAAGAAATTTGAAAGTTTTTTATGTAATAAGAAACAAGTATGAGCGAGAAGTCGTGTGATATAGCCGGTTGCTATCGAAGAGAAGAGAAAAAAACAATTAACTATAAATAAAATAGTCCGAGTAAGAAAACAATGTTTCTTGGTTGATTATGAACACATTTGATAGAACTGATTACGTTGCATGACTTAAACTAGAAAAACAAAATCACTTAATCAACAAGATTATGCTTCTAAAAAAATATAAATATCGTGCCGACGAAAAAGCTATACAATCTCTGGAAAGGAAATCATTTACTTTGAACATAACCAAATAATGAATTTAGTACAGAAAGGAAACGTTTTATTTGTCCGCGACAAGAAAACTCTCAACGATTCTAATGAGTCATTTAGATCATCAAATCAGAAGATATTCAATTCCATGAAAACAAAAACTGGAATATCCAATGGTTTATTTCCTCACGTGAGAAACGCTCGTGTGTGATCTCAAATCTAACGAGCCGATCATGAAGGATGTCACTTGTTGTATATAGACAATATTTCCCGCCATTGAGACTTGATTCGTTTTTTCAAAAATTCTCTACAAAATCAGAAAAGAGTCTACCGCAAACAGTTACACTGGATGATTCGTTCAAGAAGATTGGAACAAACAAAACTATTGCGCTTTCAAACGGCATCTTTTTTAACGAGTAGCTTGACACTTTTGTTTTATCTAGAAGGCGAGCAATTGCGTAGAAGCGAGTTTTTCAAGTGTGTTCTCTGTGACTTTCTCGAGTAATATTTTAATGTGAAAAGTGATACGTCTTATAATGTAAGCTGCGATGCCCGAGCGCTTTTGTTTTTCCAGATATTTTAAGCCAACTAATCTTTTATTTTACTTATTAACACAAACCAAATAATATTTTTTTCTTCAAATAGGACGGAAAGCTGTCAATACACAGCAAGCTTTCGATTATAAAGCATAAGATCTAAGGGTCACGCATATATATCTACTGCAAGAAAGCTTGGCAAAAGAAATTTCGACCTTTCAATATGATTCAAGGGAGATATAATTCAAGATGCCAGCAAAATACACCTGTTTGCTCTAACAAAATCGTTCCTACGTGACTCTTTAAACAAAAGCCTAAGTCAGGAAAGTACAGAAGATATTGTCTAAATACAAAAGGTGATACTCCCTGTCGCCAAACCGTCACCTTGTACTGGGAGTTAATTTTGAGCCTTTGAGAGTACTTCAAGCTACTTCCAGGTGCCTTTCGACATTGCGAAGTTTTCTATTTCCTGCTTGCTATAGTAAAACAGTATAATTGACAAAAATAAATAGTAAGAAATTAAATTCACTTCACGCTCTAATTAAATAAACATAAACAATGTGTATAAGAAAATTACATTTTAGAAAAGAACCATTGTATATGATTACAAGAAACACTATTAGTTTAAACAATTTAGATAAAGTAAGACAAATTTTCCATGGGCATCTGTAACGATGAATAGAGTGCTAATTTCATAATTAACAGTTCCCTTTAAATTCGAAACAAATATGCACTATTGCCATTATCATCTATATTCGTGCTATGTTAAGTAGCCCTGAGTTTGAATCGGCCACTTCCTTAAAGCTACCGAGATACATTATTTATTCCAATTCCTAAAACTGATTGTTTAATTAGGAAACAAAAAAAAACTCTTATCGAATAGAAATTACTATTTGATACAGTGGCGTAAATGTCTTTTTATTGAATGTATAATGAAAAACAAATGTTGATGTTACAAATCAAAAAAATTCAGTTTACTTTTCTGAGTCAAAACAGCCAAACAATTTTCCTTAGCGAAATATGTAGCTAAATCAATATTTTCAGCACATTGTATCATTCGTTTTCCTTCCGCATTTTCGTCCAGAATTGTGAAAAATGCTGATCCAGTATGAATTATAAGCCAATTCATAGACGAATTCGAAAGTGATATCAATCTTCGATTAAATTCACTATTGTCAAGTTGTACCGATGAAACGAGTAGCATTGATCGATCTCTTAATTCAAAATGCCAGTTATGTCGTTCGTTAAGAATTGTCATGCCAATTAAATTAGAATTCGTTTCTGATATAGCAATGCCGATAATAATATTATTTTGTTTAATAATATTTTCATATCGATGAGCAATCGCCCAAGAACTCATATTGTATTCATCAATCGAACTGTTACGTTCATCATAGGTAATGAAAAGTGTTTCACCTGAACAGGCACAACGAAGAAACTCCATTCTATCTCGTTTTGGTTTGACTGCTTCGATTCTTTGCATCGAATCCGACGTTACAATCTCATCATCATATGTGTAGAGTCGATTATCAGCTAATATAACGAATTTGTTGAGAAACGATGACCAACAACTGTCCCATATTGATTGATCTTCATACCATGGTATTAGCTTTTGTTGACCATCAACACTCACAGTTAACAAGCGTTTGTTCTTCTTTGTATGTTGATAGTGAAGGAATACTGAATTTTTTGGTGAAGGTTTTCCTAAAATATGCCAATCGGCGCCTCTAGCATCTATACTTATTCGTGGCCGTGCTGTTAACAAGCGATCTAAATGAAGATCTTGTTGATACCGTTGTAATGTGTGTTGTTTCATGGCAAGCTGAAAGTATTGTGTCCAATCGACTGGTGTTGTTTTAATTTCAGCTGTACTCATGAGAGAATCTTGAACTTCTAACTTGAAGCGATTTAATTTTGTCATCAATCGTTGAATATCTGGCTCGAATGCATGATTTGTTCGTTGAATCTGCTGCAATTCTTCAGTGAATTGTTCAAATTCAGGTCGAAATCGTTCAGTTACTGCAGTATTTGATCGACAACGAATTTTTTCTCTTGCAGCTTCAGCTACTTGTTTAACTTGTCGAATAATATCACCTTCCCATCGATCGATTGTATTTATAAGTTCCGTATCTTCTGTTAGACTTTCATATGATGGTGGAAGAGCAACAGCTTGTTTCAAATTCGAATATTCAGAGGTTAAATTATCCAATTGTTGATTTAAACTGCGTTGATGTTCTGAAAAATGAGTGTTGCAAAATAGTCGACGACATCCGTCACACCGATGTGAACCGCGATCACAGTCGCGACATGAAGAGGTCATTGTACAAACGTAGAAAAAATTCAGGAGAAATGTATTCAATTTAATACTTTTTTGTTTGACTGTTTCGATGAAAGTGGTCGAAACAACAATAAGCAACACGATGACCTTTGTTCGAATGACTAATAATGCTTTCTCTGTTTTTTTTCTTTTCTTTTGGAAGAACGGGAATAGAAAATGACGACTTACTAGAGAGTGTCTGAACAGAACAGAGCAATACTATTGAATTACAGTTCTTTTCTTCCTTCTATTCTCTCATTCGAGCTAGGGAAAAAATTACGAAGCAGACATAGTATGCAAGTATCATTTATAAGCTCGAAAGACTTACTGTTTGCTGATCTATACCAAATACTCAGCCAGTAGGAGTTTTTTTTCCTATAGTAATTCATATTATTATTAGTTGACTTAATGGTTAGGATATACTTGAAAATTGTACTCCGACTGTTCTGCCCTCTTCAGATATTTTCACATTCATGTGAGAACAATATATTGGAAAAAAATAAAAATGTGTTAAAATAGTCTAGTACGTGATTATTTGACGTAGAGTATGGACACGTGAATCAGTCAAATAGTTTATTTTTCAGAAAAAGAGAAACCTTGATAAAACAGGAAATACTGCCGATTTATAAATTTAAGAGAATAGTTAAGTCATACTAGTTATTATGTCGATCGGTTTTTAACTATTTGAATTTGAATAAAAGTGACTGGAAAGCCGGCTGCTAGAAAATGCACATTCACAAACAAGTTCAGCATCTAGATTTTGTTGTATAAAAAAAATCGAGTAGCAGTGTGTGGGTGTCAATATCAGCAATAAAAAAGACATGCATACACACACAGTCTTATAGATATCCGATTTATGGGCATCAATAACTTCGAAATTATGTGAATATGATCGTTTGTGAGTTATAAAAAAGCTTATTGCATGATGAATTTATTGGTTGTGTGTTTCAATACCGGATTATTATTATTATTATATTTAATTTTTTATATGAAAAAATCTGATAGAAAATGTCAATTCTCAGGGCAAGAGTGTAACGAATAAGAACGACGACATATAATTATAAGATTCTCTTTTTTTGTATTTACTTTCTTTGGTTATTATTGACAGTCAATGTTAAGCCGAAGAATGCTCGAATTGTGTTCATATCTGAAAATTCGGAAGACTTTCTAGAAGAAATTAATTATTATCGAATTATATAGACAATAAAAAAAAGAATGCATTATAATTTTCTATTCAAATTTTATACACAATGAAAGATTTTATTTCTTTTTTTTTTTTTTTTGAATAAAATTATTTGATTATTAAAACACAAAGAAAAGAAAAGAATTGATCAAAAGTAACAACTCAGGCGAATAGTCGTGTTTTGATTAAGTTTGCTGGTATTATAAGTTCATTTTCTACCATTTTTAATTGGCGACTCGTTTTAATAATATCGACTTGTTTCTTAACTGTCTGTATTGCTGTCAATTCATCGATGATTGCATAGAGTTCAAAAATCGAAAGATTTTCATTGGCTACAAATAATTGTTGACTATTCTCTTGACGTATTCGTTTAATAGAGTTTAAAACTTCGCACAATCTTCGGTTCGCAGCAGAATCTATATTACGTATTTTACTGATTTGCTGTTCTTCTTCGAGAAAACGTTCGAGTATTGATTGAAATGGATCATTTTGAACTGGTAGTTTTTGTTGTCGTAAATAATGAGCTAGTCTATCACATTTAAGTAGAAAATTACGAAAAGAACTTTGCCATTGCTCAATTTTAAGACCTGCTGGCCGTCCAATAAATTCATAGGTTACGATTGATTCAATAAAAAAATGCTTTCCATCTGTAGGACAATGACGATGTTGATTTGTGCCCGTTCTCAACACAGGCGAGCGATATTGTGTATACCAGAAAGGACCTAACTCGACGATATTAGCTTGTGCACATCTAGTACACATATCGATAGCGATCGGATCGGAATTAAGTACTACTTGATTAGCATTTAAGTTAGCTTCGGTTAATTTTGTATTATAAAGTATTAAACGTAATGTTTCCATGAGAGGTACAGCCAACATGGATATATCAAGTGCAGCCTTTCTTGGCGATAGCCATTCTTCTAAACGATATTGTTCGCACCGTTGAATAAAATTAAGCAAGCGCATCGATTCTTTAACTGAGATGTTCCAACTATTGAAATATTCTTGTTTTTGATCTTCATCAAAATCGATACGACTTTTCCGGGCAGCTAAATATCGAAATGATTCGCTATCAAAACAAAATGTATTTTCTTTTTTAAACGGAATAGCATTAAGATGTTCATCGTTGAGCATTCTACGCAGTAATGGTCCAGTATCACCTGGTGCGTAAAAAGTTTCTCGAGCATTTGTAAAACAGAATACAATATTATTATAACCCTCGGGTGTTAAATAAGTTATCAATTGTTGAACACACGAACGAAAGAAAACGTTTAGTCGAGATGCGTTCGGTTTCAGTAATAAACAAATGGCATTTAAATGCGGTAAACTATTGATATAATTCAATATATGATCAATATTTTTAGCATCTTGATTGAGACCGCGTGTGTCACCAATACCAGGCGTATCGATTAAACGTAAACGGAATCTACTGTTCAAGTCGAATACATATGATTTGCAGTGTTGTGTTACTGATTGACCTTGATGTGCATGATCTTCATTCGAATCAACATCACCAAAATTGACAATAACCTCATCAAATCTATCACCGACAGTTAGAAGAAATGAAACTGGTATTAACACAACTGGTTCGCCGTGTTCGGCTTGTTGAAGAGTATCGAATTTCAAGTAATTGACAAAGGCGTTGATGAATGTTGATTTTCCAACACCTGTTTCTCCCAAGAGTAGTACATTGATTTCTACCGGTGATCCTTTTGGTGATGGTAGGGGCTGTGGTATTATGGGCTCTAGAGGTGTTTCAGTCTGCTTTCGCTTAAATGTTGGCGGAGGTGTTCCAGCCAGCTTTCTCTTCGATTGTGGCGGAGGTGATTCAGCCAGCTTTCTCTTCGATGGTGGAGAAGATTTTTCCGATTTGCTTCGTTTCGGTGAAGGTATTGGTGGTTCCGAGTGACTGCGAGTCTTTGCGGGTGGTGACCTTGGCGTAGAGTGCGTCGGACGATCTGCCATATAAGAGTAGAGATATTTATTTGCTTATGATACTAGAAAATTCTTTGACATTGCAAGCTGTTTTCTTGCTATTCTCTAATACAATCTACTTTAATCGTGAACGACTATACTTTATTAGCCAAAATATTTAATATAAACACAACTCAGGCAACATAAGAGTAGCTACGTGTGTAATCAATGAAGGAATGATGAGTTTAACATAAAAGCTCTTTCAACATAAGCCTTATCGAATTGAAATGGTAGGTATGATTATATTTTTTTTACCTTACGCAAGTTGGTCCCTTCATTTTTAGATGGTTAAACTGGCTAAACTATTCAAACATCAGTCAGCTTATTCTCTTGTTGGCTACTAATGATTTATTCGTTATTCATCAATATTTTTACTTCATATTCAATCCTAGCAAAAATTATATCAAGATGTTTTGGATGAAAGTACCAGTACATGTTTCTGTACGCATAACTCAGCAATTCTACTCTATATTATTTCACAACATTATTTACGGCTACATTGAATGGATGATACATTCAATGACAAGATAAATATCTTTCTATACACTAATAATTATATTTTAAAAGGTCAGCTCCAGTCGTTTAACTCTAAATTTTTAAGTTAGCTGTTTCTGTCTATCGAGAGAACAGTAAAATGTCATCTGTGAAACTAAAGAAGAGCTATTGTTTTTCTATTGTTTTATTCTAACCTGTTGTTTTGACTGCTATAGGATACACTTGAGTAGTCGGTCTTCCTACCAGCGGTAATCTTACAATGGTAAAAGTTTCTAATATTTGTCCAAAAAAAGAAAAATCAACATAGACTAAATGTGCTCGTGGTACTGCACGTTGTCGTTCCAACGTTAATTCTCGATATATTTCTTCCCATTTATCTTCTTGTTCGCGTAGTAAACGGTCACTTGAATACCAAAGAATTATCGAAACATTTTGATGGGAATAACGATGATTAAGTATAGCACCAATATCATCGATTGTTGTTCCTGGATTCTGGCATAAATCAGACGCTAGGATATTTTCAATTCCATCGGCTTTTAATTTTTCGATCAAGATAAACTTGTTCATTAATCGTCTTAGAACACTATCTCGAAATGCATCGAGTTCATTTTTACGTAAACATTCATAACGTTTATCATTAAGGATATTGTCTAGTATTGATAACCTAGCACGTTCTCGGTGAACCTCTACAAGTGCTTTTCCAAGACGTTCTTTCAAATTATCTTGTGAATCCAAAAGAAATCGATATTTTTGGTGCGCATCTTTTAAACGAGTATTTAGTGTTACACTCGAAAAATTTGTAGGAAGATTATGTAAAGTGTCTCCAAAATCGTTTAGCATCTTGTTTATATAACTGATCCTCGTGTCAACTCTGAAAGCTTCCGCATTATTAGTAATATTAGAATTAAAACGTATTAATGAAAATTGCGGGCCTGCATAAAGCCACCGGAGCGGTTGCATCGTATATAAAAGTGGCTCATGAAAGTTATCGTTTCTTTGCCAGTCTTGTATTCTATTGAGAATATTCAATATTGATGAATCTCGTCCGCCGACACACGTCTCCGATCCAAATACAGTAATATTATTTAATTGATTGATAAGATGCAGCTCATTCTTGTTGAGTTGAATTGGGTTCCGATCATTTTTAAGTTGGTTACATATATACTGAAGTAATTGATCAATCGCGTTAGTAGATTGATTTTTTGGAATTTGTATAATACATAAAAATTCAATACCCCATAAAATATTTGTTATCATATGAGTGGCATTGGTTGGACTTAATGGTGGTGCAACAATTTTGTCTGCTTTTCGAGCCTCAATGTTTAATTTTTCTTTTCTAGCTTTAAAACAATAGTATAGAAAACGAGTATCGCCATTAATTTGTTGATTATAGTCAATAACACGGCTGATACCCGATGTTGTAACCATTCCAAGACCGATGCTAAGACGGATTGCAGGGTCAAATCCGATGTTTCTGAGAACACTAGAGACTTCTCTCGATTGGTCACCTGAAAACAGCGAACATATAAACTTTTTATTTGGTGTTTTTCTTGCACTTCTTTGGCACGAATGTCGATCAATTAAATTATCGGTTGAAGCATCATAGAGAGAGCCTAATCGGCCTGACCCATCGATCACTTTACGTTCAAGTGGATATCCAGTGGTAGGCTTGAAAGGTGGAAAACAAAAACTCATCTTCGTGATATCGCCCGTATTCTCAACTGGAAATATATTTTACTGTGATAATCTACAAAAAAAAGAGAGATTTGACAACATACTTTTTTTTCAAAGAGATCATAAAACAAATGCATTGAAAATAAAGCAGTTCACACTTATCTAAGAAGTTGGGATTCAGTGTAAAGTTGTTAATATTAGATCAGTAAAATTGTCAGACTATTGCTATGTTCCAAACTTCTCTGATTGAAACATTCTAATGTAAAATTTAATTAAAAAAGGCATTTAAAAAAGAATGGATTTTTCCGTTCTCTACACATAATCAAACGTATTTTATGAGGAAGGTCTTTTGTATTGTGTTCCACTGCTCATTTACATAAATCAATAAAATAATCGATTACAACTCTAGTAGCAAATGTTTCAAGGTAAAAATAACAAATCTACTCGGGATTTATTTAAAATAAATATATTTACCGCAAACCAAAACGTTATTCTGAGTTCCAGAATCGACGTGCTTCTTAAGTCTGATATTTCAAGGATATATACAAACGCTAAATTTTTGTTTGTACACAATTTGAACTTAAAAGTGTTCGTATGAATTACATTGCAGACGACAGCACTTTCTCTCAAGGTGAAATCAAATAGAAGATTTTGACTGAAATAAATCACTAGAAAAATATTTGATAATAACGCAGATTAAAAACTTCGTCTCGCCAATTCGAACTAAAATGAAGTCATGATCGCTCTGCAAACCAAACAAAATCGATGAAACATACGTGTAGTGAAATATTCAGTTAGAGTAGTTGTCAATAATTAACTATCATGGTAGTTTTCTTTTATGGCAGCCTACTTTTCTTTTTTGCTTTGTTGAAAAAGAACCTGAAAAGTTTTGACTATTTACCGTCTACGAACTTGAGCGAGAGAGAGACAGAGTGCATGTAAGAAGAACAGAAAGAAAATGAAGCACAACCTAATGGAAGTATCCTGTTGGTGACGATAAAATGAAGGTTGTTCTCTTCTGTCTCGGACTTATGAGTTTTGTCGCTTAATCAAATAAATATAAGAACTATGTAGTAACCTTTTCATTATAATCTATTCTTTTCGTTTGAATAGACACAAAATTTTTACAGTTTGATTCAATCACGTCTTCAATTTTCAACTCAAGCGAAAACGATGTTAAGTAAATAACCATCAAATAACTTCTGTTACAACAAATTTCATTGTAAACAGAATTTTTATTTTGTACACAAATATTTTTATGATGACACAGTGACAGAAGAAAATAACTTTAAAAACACTTATCTCCTCTTGACAAAGCAAAGAAATTAATTTTTTCTAAAAAATCATTAAGAAATAAAAGAAATTTTACTTAACTTCATCACCTAATCGTAAAGTTACTTCCTGCCAAAGTGATCTTCGAACAAATTATTTCCAAAATTTCTCTTTGTAACTAACTTTATTTGATCGATAAATCAGTTTTGAAATAAATCGATTTTATTACATTCGGTACATTACTTCATTTTTGAGGCGCGTTCTTTTTTTCTGAATAAAATGACTAATCGCATAATCATCATTGATTCGAGTGGATTTTTTCTCTACGTAGAATTTTTCACAGTTTAATTTTTCGATATTTCTCATTTTAATCTAAATGAAACATTTATAACATTTTATGCCGTATGGATTTACTTATTCCAATAGCACCTACAAACATCTAAATATAGAAAAACATTTTTACGCAATTATTCAAAAATGTCAACCTGTTTCAATATGATTCGAGTGTTGAACGTATCTGCCATAAAGATATTTAAAAAAGTGTTGCTAGAAAGCAAACTATCACAATTAATTTTATAAGAATACCTATGATAGCGTCAGAGAAGAGAATGCTTTTCTTAGTTCCATGTAAAATGATCAAAAGAGAAAGCCATGATAACAGAATGAGCAAGAAAATAAAGCGTATCGATTGTTTTGATTATTGCATTCAAGTACGGTCAAGTACAAATATAATATTTCACCTAATCGTTCTCCTCTATACTATTAAACATGAAACACTCAGCATATTTATCAGTTATATGCAATATTCTTGTATGACGAAGTGTTATAGCTTTAGTATCGACTTAGTTTCGCCCGTAACTTTCAGGAATTTACATATTCTCTTTCATTAATATACCGATTTGAATATTGGATCGAATTAATAAGTTAACGATTAATATATCCTGCGGATTCTCTATACTAAATTTGACTTGTTTCAATGAAAATTGATTAGAATTTTTGCATACCGCTACGAAATGAAAATGAATTATTTTTCGACTAAGATATATTTATACCATTTGGGTATGTGAATCGCGAAGAAAACATTTTCAAAGAACTCACATTCAGATGACGGCATAATTCTTCGATACAACAACAAACTGCGCTTGCTAAACATTCTACCTTGGGTTGAAATAGAGTAAGGATTCTATTTGTGTACGTTATTTTCCACGGCAATCCCTTTTTTGTAATTTTGTTATTCGAAATGAAAAAGGAAGTTGGTATGAATAATTGCATGGAAACATTCGTTTGTTTATCTAAATATGTAATGAGTAGCACAATGATCTGCAGATACATTTATACATCTACTCTTACCGGCACCTGTCTGTCTAAATAGTACAATATTGACATCATCACACATTTAGTTGTTTTTTAGATTTCACTTGCTATTGTCGGTGACAGTGAAGATAAGTTGTTTCGAAGGAGAAAACTTTACATGCTGTGACACTTATGAGTATTTTCTATTACTCATTTTGTTGTAACAAACACTTCGAGCGAAAAGAAAAGCAACGTGGAAAAAAACAAAAATAAAACATGCGTGTGTCTTTCTCTGCTTTTGTTAGTTCTTTCAGCAGAGCAAACGAAAAGGTAAATCGAAATAGCGAAGATTGAAAAGTTCTGTCTATATCGAATAGAGAACATGTGAATTTATTCGTGATTCCTTTACAGTGTTGATGATTGAGTCATAGATATGAAAGTTCTACTAACAAAGTACACTGTTTGAACAATAATGCGGCAAGAGATTAAACTATTCGTCATATTGGTACCGAACAAAAAACAATGCATTTTTGGAATTAGAAAGGAATGAATATAGACATGCTAAACTGTAACACGTAGTCACTTAAGTACTATTCTAAGAATGAAAGGTTGCTAGACCTTTTCAGGAACAGAGTTCCTCCATAAAGAAAATGAAGAAGAAGAGCCTGGAAAACGAAAAATGCATATCTTTTATTATTAATTTTTGCTGTTATCACATTATTTGATAAGCACTAAGGTAATACAATATTCTATGTTGTTGTGCACGTGAGCAAAACAGAAAGTATTTTAGAATTCTTAAACGATGTAAAATTTTTATAACAATGATACCAATTAGTTTTATTCGCGAAAAAGATTTCAGAAGTCAATGGGCTGTTTCATTTATCTTACTATTTTTGCGGAATTCACATATATTTTCGAAGAAAAGGAAGAGTGTAAGTTTTAAGGCGACGTTTTGCGGCTCCCCCTCGGTTCCCATTACAGACATCAATGATTACCTCCCCCCTCCCCGCTAATGAGAGATCACTCTAATTAGGACCCTACCGCGCGCTTCGGCATGACAGAAAATAGGAAAAAGCAAGTCGTACGCATTACAGACATTAGCAACTATTGTATCAACCCATTACAGACAGCAGCGGAGCTATTCTATGGCTCCATGACAGACATTAGCAACTAGTGTTGGACTGCATTACAGACCGTAGCAACCCATTACCGACGGGGGCGGGGNATAGCTCCGCTGCTGTCTGTAATGGGTTGATACAATAGGTGCTAATGTCTGTAATGCGTACGACTTGCTTTTTCCTATTGAGAACAACAGGCATCATATTTTGATTCTTTTTTTTTGTAAAGTGGGTCATGCAATTCTATTGAAAAATAATGTATATCAATTTTTGTGAGTTGATTAAGATTTATAAAAGTGTGTAAACAAATGCTATAGATATCATGGATGTGTAAAACGGACTTATTATTCAATCGACCAAATGGTTATAATAATAGTAATGGCACATTAAGAAAAGCGAATTTAAAAAAAATTAAAAACAGGATTAACAGCCAATAGCATTAATGCAAACAAAAAATTTGGGTACACCTACAAAATCGAAATATTTGCTCGGAATGAGGAAATTAGAGAGCATATGCGAGTTTCACATTTTAACCTCGAAGGGGCTGCGCTGACAAGCTTTTTTCAGGTATCTAAAACTGAAATATATAATAAATGATATACATTAATATAAAATTTTCCTTCTTTTCAGATCTGATTATCATAAGAGTAATTTATTCCCAACGATATCTTTGAGAAAATAATGGCCGTACTATCGAAATATAATTTAGAAGAATATCAATATGGTGTTCACGTTAGAAAGGGCCGTCAACTTTATATGAAGTCAGAGAAAAATATTTATTTTGGTCAATGGATTACGAGTAGAAACGATGAAATTATAATAGTTGAAATGAGCGAAAACATCGCAAGACGAGAAGCTGAATTTTATTTAGAAGTTAATCATCACGATTACATTGTTCGTACATTTGCTTCAGTTAGTAATGTATTAAATTTAACCATATTTATACAAGAATATGCACCACAAGGTGATTTAGCTGGTTATCTAATGGACAATCCGAATAAGTTTACACTACCGAGTTTTGCCGAAATATTTTTGCAGATTGCCGATGCGATGAGTCATATTGCGAGTAAACGGATTGTACATGCTGATTTAGGTTGTCGAAATGTACTTGTATTCCGAGTCGATGAAACTCAACTGAAAAATAATTTAGTTAAACTCACAGATTTTGGTCTATCACGTTGGATTGACCAAGAGGTTCCTGATGAAGATGAATCAATAATTCCAATTCGGTATTGTGCGCCAGAAATTCTTCGAACCAATCGACATTCTGATTATTCCGAAAAATCTGATGTCTACTCACTGGGCGTTCTAATCTGGGAAGCTTTATCGAATAGCGAAATTCCTTATTCATCAGTCAGTGACGATCGTCAAGTCAAAACAATGAAATTAAATAATGAACAACTCAAAAGGCCACATGTTTGTAATGGCGAGCTTTGGAGTCTTATTAATAAATGTTGGCAAACAAATCCTAAGGATCGACCAGATTTTGAGCGTATTAAGCGAGAATTATCGAAGCTGGATGTTTCTAGCAACGAACTCGACCTAAGTTCTGCTGAAATTTACGAGTAAGAAAATCTTCTTAATTGAGATCTACCGGACAATGATTAGTAATATGCGTATGTTAATAATCCATCAGTTGTGTTCTATTAACTCTGAGAACAAATGAGGACATAATGGATTGCATTAGGAGTTCTCTAATCAGTTCGAATTCAAATATTATTTTACACGGATTTTTCATGACTATTGAGACGATGCGAAATTATGGTTGCATTGGAATTTTTGCTCTATAGATTTTATTTTGCGCGGGTCAATTTTTATTTATCGCGTCTGTATGTTCACTAATCAAGATTTTCTAAAATATCTTATATGAAGAAAAAAAATTCTATTGATCGAAAGTCAAAGTTTTATATATGAGCGATAGAAGAAGATTGAGTGTAAAATCAGTCCATTTTTAAAATTATCTTTCATTACCTTCATGAGGCGATCTCTCGTAAAGCGATTAACTGCTATTCTATCAAGCACTATGTGAGTTTTTAGAATCTCGAATTCAGCTGTTATCGAATATAGGACAACACTAATTCTATCAGTTAACATTTAAATATTTCTAAGAAATCATCGTTAATGGAGTAATTTCACATCAATAGATACAATCAATTGATTAAATATCATCACGAGCTACCAAAGATGATACTCTCAGTCGAACTCACACAGTGAACAGACAAACAGTCTAAGCACAAAAAAAAGCATTATTCACAGTTTATAAAGCAACGAACTGAGTCATTTTTCCATTAAGACTACCAACAAACTATAAATATGAACTTGATGAAGATATTCGAATCCAAAATTTACTCGGTGGCCAATTTGGTAAAATCTACGAGGCAGAATGGATATCAAGAAAAGAAAGACCAATCGTCGTCATTCAAATGGATACAGAACCGTCAGAATACGAAGCAATGGTTTACACAAATTTCGACCTGCATCGAAATATCGTTGATACTTTTGGATTCGTAGGTAACGATCGCGGCTTAATTTTATTATTACAAGAAAGAGCACCGTATGGTAATCTCCAAGCATTGTTACAAAATGGTACATTTCAACCATCGCAAAATGTACTGATTACAATATTCACCCAAATCGTGAAAGCTATGATCTATGTTGTTAGCAAAGGTATTGTACACGGTAATCTATGTTGTGCGAATATTGTTGTGTTCCAAGTGAATCCATCTGAGCCAACAGAAAATTGGGTTAAACTCACGAATTTCGTTTTGGCACATAAAAATGATCCTGATTTCTCCGACGATCGACGACTTGTCATTCCAGTTCGATATTGTGCTCCTGAAATTCTACGAAGTGCTGGTCGAACAAACTATTCTGAATATTCGGATGTTTATTCTATGGGCGTTTTAATGTGGGAAGCACTCTCAAACGGAACAGTACCATATAAATCTTCGATCACTAACAGTGAAGTTCGACAAAGAAAAATGAAGGGTGAAAAGCTTGCAAAGCCATTCATGTGCGATGATCAGATTTGGAAAATTATAGCAGATTGCTGGCATAACGAACCTGAACTAAGATTTGAGTTCACCGGCATCAAAATTCGATTGTCTCAAGTAGACAGAAAGTAAGTAACATCAATTCACATCGGTAAAGATGATATCTAACATAGAATCTAAAAATGAACTCTAAATAATATTCTATAGTTCGAAGAGTGAAACCGTTCATCGATTTGAGGGTTCAAAGAAGGACATTTTTCATATTCACTTACTTTTTACTTCTTGCTTCGAATGAAATACGATAGAATTCGGTAGTTGGCTAATGCACAAGAACAGAGAAATGACAAGAAATTTCCAATATCGAAATATATGAGATTTGAGTGTGGAGAAAGCTTGCTTCTCTTTTCATTATCTTTCTTAGTTATTGAGTATGATCAAAAGCTGTTTACTTTTCTTTTTTCTAAGATTGGCATATTATTTCTCTTCTTCAAGGTTACTAGGCAATAATAAGTACGAATACGAACTAAATGTCAATGTGAAACTGAAAGGACCTTTAAATGGCGATAGTGACAAATTTTACGAAGCCGATTGGATTCGAAAGCGAGGTCCACCCATCGTTCTAATGGTTATGAACGAAGAAACAGCAGAACAAGAAGTTTCGTTGTATAAGAAATTCAAGTCTCATCGTAATATTGTAGAAACGTTTGATTTTGTGAAAAATGATCGTCAATCAATCATGTTACTACAAGAACGAGCACCTTACGGTAATTTACAAAAGCTATTACAATGTGGAAACTTTCAGCCATCACAAAAAGTACTCGCATCAATCTTTCTGCAGATCACAGAAGCGATGATTTATCTTGTCGGTGAAAATTTCGTACACGGGGATCTACGTTGTTCGAATGTACTTGTCGTCAAAATGGATCCTTCTGATCCCGAAAGAAATCTTGTTAAATTAACTAATTTCAGTCGAGCTTGTCCAATCGGTCAGTCAGTTGGAGATAGAAAGATACCAGCAAGTTTAATACCGTATTGTGCTCCTGAAATTCGTCGAAATCGAAATACATCAAGTTATTCAGAATTTTCGGAAGTTTATTCGATGGGCGTCTTGATGTGGCAAGCATGTTCGCAAGGAGCCATTCCTTTCGCGGGTGATACAAATAGTGGTGATACTCGTAGAAGAGCATCCATTAATCGCAGATTAGGACGTCCAAAGCAATGCCAGGAAAATTTATGGGCAGTTATTTCTGATTGTTTCCTCAATGAACCCGAATTACGATTCAGTTTTAATGACTTGAAGACTCAAATTTCACGCATTGATTTCAGGTAAGTAGTCGACTCATCTGTTGATTAATCTTGTGACGAAATGTATTGTTCTGAATTCAACTGAAATTAGAATTGAAGTTACGACAATATATTATGAACGATAAAACGTTCTTAGAAAATAGGTTGAAAATACATGATTTGTTGAATTTTGAAAAAACAAATCTAGTAACATATTTCCTTTGTCTGAAACGTAACTTATCTTCGCAAGTAACTAATAAAATGTTCAGAACATATATTATAGTGTTCCTGTTTTTTAAATGAAGCAGAACATACATCAGACTACACTTATTAAGTTTTAGTTATGGTTTTATGAAGAGTATCATCTTTTATTTATTTAGTGTTGCTAGACGTGTGCATTGTGATAACTGTAACCAAGAAATTTTAGAGACTGACATAGAAATCCATCGGGTATAAACAACCACAGTGATACCGTCTTGAAATATATTTCACTTTTCTAGGTATCCTGTGTACCGCTGCCTATACTGCGATCTGCGTAACAAAAAGCGTTTGCGTTTTTTACGATTATGATGATGTGTAATTTTCTATTTTTCAAGGCCTGCCAGTTTCGCGCGATGCAGGTATTGTAGTGAAAGATGTCTTGGCAGTCAATTAGAGGATCATCAAGTAGGCACATCGCTGCCAGATTGTTTTACTGACATACTTTTTTTTATAGAAAACATGTCGAGAAAACCCTGCCAACTTCAGGTATTTCCATTAAATAAATGTTCATTTGTTACGTCATTTTGTTCTACATAGACCTATTCTAACTACCAGATGTAACAAGTGTAATAAAGAATTTCCAAACAGTGACATAGGGAAGCATCAAGTAAGAAAACAACAACTTTATCAGTAAACATATGTGTTTTTTTAAGAAATCCTGTCTACCGGCACTGGCTCCAATTCACGAGTTTGATTATATCAAAAGACAATTTTCAATCGATTAGTTACTGAATTTCTTTTTATATAGACATCAGCGACCTGTGCGTTGTGAGAATTGTGGTCAACAATATGCGGCTACTGAGATCGGAACTCACCGAGTATTCATAAAATAACAATTTTCATTATGCAGCTTTGTTTGTTTAAGAAAACCTGTCCATCAAGACCTATCATCCATGTGCGTCCACCTCCACAGTACGCAAAGTTCTTTCTGAAAACTATTACATGAAATGCATAATTTCTTTTCAATTAGACCTCGTGGTATCCAATGTGTAAATTGCAATAGACAGATTCCGCAAAACGAAATTACAGCACATCGGGTAAGAGCAACAACTGCAATAATTATTAATATTCTTAATCTTTTTTTTAGAATATATGTCGGCCGAAACCAATGTATACGTTTAATTAAATTTATTAACTAATATTTGGTAATGTGTTTTTTTAATGATTTCTTTTAGATCTTGTATGGAACGATTCTGTTCATGGATCAGCCATTGCTGTGCAAAAAACTAGTGATGTGATCAAAATAAAACTTTACTTATTTATCGAACAGTAAATTTAAAACGTCTGCTAATGAGAAGATTGAATTGAAACAAACAAAAGTAAATTTTTATTTGACTGAATCCGCATAAATTTCTCATTACGCTGCTGTCATGTTTCATTTTGTTGCATTGAATAAGAATCTGACAAATTATTTTTTTTATTATTAGAAAAATTGTTTTTCACTTCAATAAACTGAAACAGACTATAGAAAGAATCATATTTTTTAGTGCATTTGACGCGGAATTATCTTATAGGAAAAAAACATTATTTACAAAAATTCATATTAATACGTTTTTTTAACGAGTATCATGAAATATATTACCTAACAAACATCTACTATACTGGATTGGTCCTTCTTGAGGTAAATTCGTTGCAGCGCAAAAAACTTGCGTCTTATAAATTAAAGTGAACTTTGGTATGAGTTCAAAAGAGTCTATTCTAATTCTGAATAGCCTTTCCAATTGTATTAGCGGCTCGGCCGTATTTAAACTGATTACATACGATGCTAATTTCAAATGTCCTTGTAGACATGACTAGAAGCAACGCGATGTTCTGAGTTCTTGACTTTGCTCAAATTGACTGCGGAGGCACACTGACACTTTTAATTGGTTCAATTCTGCTGAAATCATGAGGGAATATCGCTGATCTTGAGTTCATGATTATATTTGAAATATTAGAGATATTCATGGATTTTATTTCGTTTGGTAAATAACTTTGATTTTAAAATTTTAAGATGTGACATCGAATTATCAGGAACGATCCTCTGTTGAATTTCAGTTAACGCTATGTGCAGAATGCCTCCGATGGATTTGTTAGAACAACTAAAAGGTTTTCACAGTAGGTGCATAAGTAAAATTATTCAATAGTAATTAAATCTATCGGCATAATTAATATTGGCTATTCATCTTGTATGATTGCCAATTAAGACATGCATCTTACCTTTCTGTCATTTGAAGTACACATAAAGAAAGAATATATATATATATATATATAGCTTTTAATCAAAACATTGTTTTCTATTATTTTATAAATAATTCTTCAAGAACAGATTACTGTTCAAGATAGTTCTTAAATGTGTGCTGAAATGCAACTAAATCAGTCTATCTTTGTATAAGTAGAGTCACAAACAGTTATTTGTTCTGAACAGTAGGACATCCTTTTATAAAATATATATCCTTTTTTGAACTATTAAAAAGCGCGTCCAGGTTAGAAGGATATAAAAAGTGCAAAAATAGCTTTTCTGTTAATTAGCACAGTTTATCCATGAAGCTCAATCATATGTTTCAGCTTCTAGAATAAGGAAGACAAGATTTTCACAGCAAGCAGTATCAGTAATTAAATTCATTATTTTATCAAAATTATCATCGAGGATAAAATATGATTCGTACTTCAATGCTAAGATTTCAACAGAACAGATTAGCTAGCAAAGTCTTTTGCAATAACACAGTTGAGAACGATTTTCCAGATATTAATTCACTTAATTGTTTTAAGCTTTGCTTTTAAGGTTTGATAACCCTCGACAGGAAATGAAATGTGTTCAATATTTGTAAATGTCTATTCACTGAAAGGCTGTGTCAGACGTTAGATGTTCGACATTTGATACCTAGACTATATCCTTGAGCCAGATAGATAGAATTTTTCTTTACATTAGAAACAGCTCAGGATTTGGGATTGTTTTTGAAATGCAAAGTAGCTTATAAAAAAGGCAGCTTGAATGAATAATAACTACACTTCACTTTAGGTTAATGAAAATTTTCTTTTAAATCTCGAGTGTGAAAAATCAGTCAACGATAATATATATTAATATAATCTATGATCGTATGCCATAGAAATATTTCTCATGGTTCGCTGTGATAAATTGCCATGAGCATTCGTGATTGATTTAAATGTTAATTTTTGCTGTTAGATGAAGTCTTCAAATAATTTTGCCATTTTTTCGCTAATAGTGTGCTTATCACTAATGGAAGTGTATAGCAAATCGTATTTGTATCAAAGAATAAGAAAGAATAGGAATGAATATTTAGAAGAGTATTAATTATCATGAAGTCTGGATATAAAAAATGTAAGAATGGCTTTCAGGAAATCCGTTGGTAGCATGTAATTCTCTATCGCTGTCAGCTTCGTAAAAATAATGGTGCGGATGTCTCTGATATTTGAATTTTCTGTCCGTTGTATAATTTTACTTTTCCTTATTCTTTTTTTCTAAATGAGATTTTGCTACATTTTTCACCTGAATAGCTATCCATCCAAGAAGATAATATCAATGAGCACAATCATATCGACTGATATTTGTTTTGTAGGCACTTTCAAATTCAGAAAAATTCTTGTTCTATATGGAAAAATATTATGCAAAGAAGTATCTTTCGATCGAATCTAATAGTTAAAATGGTCGATTGATCGAAAAAATTGTTCTCTTATAATTTAGACAAAGCCAATATCATATTAACTCATTCTTGTCAAGCACTAGAAGAATGCTTCTGAAAATTTCAAGTAATGTCACTTGACCTGACATCAACAGAGAAAAACAGTTTTATCAAGCTGATTCACCATGCTGAGTCAAGCAACGCTGTTTTAATTTTTGATTCTTTCTCTGGATTGGACCCTACTGAAATGTTGATATGTCAAGCTACATGACAAACAATCATCAAACTACGGAAGCAACAATAGTACATAATTGAGCAGGAGAAATAAAATAACGAAACCATTTCTGTTCGACACAAAAAGTTCTATTGATTTGGCCCCGATTCTTTCCGGGAATAAATTACATCAATTAGCAGATATAGAAGCTCTCAGAAACATCCTTCTGCCTGTCAAGCACAACAAGTTGGAAATTTTAACTTTGTATGAAGCTTGATAGAATCTTGTGTCTTATCTAATAATCACATTCACTATAAAGTTCAACCGGCATACGCCTTCAGAATAATATTCTCAAAATCTTCATCCGAAAACAAGAATCTCCTTGTTCAAAGGCTAACCTAACAAATGTCAACAGGTCTAAATACTCGAGGGGTTGCTTGGTCATGTTTTATCGCATAACTCATATGCTTCTACTCAAGTTTCTTTAGATTAAAAATTTTCAAAAAGAGTCTTTGTTTAGCTACACAGTGGCGCAATTCAAATATACATATATATATAATCTACTCAGTAAGGCGTAGACAAGCAAATTCTCTCCAAAAAATAATTAATAATTTATTATGATCTGAAGAATTAGACTTAACAAAATAAACTGTTTGACATAATCATTTTTGCATTGAACGTCTTCGTGGACGATTGGTGAGTGTTGTTACTCTCATATATATACATCATGGTTCGAATCAAATAATTATGTTCAATTGCTGCTTGTTGGATGCAGGACTGCTTTGAGTTGACCATCGCATAACACCTGTTGTTCTACGCCTCTACCAAGATCGACGATAATTTGCTGAAAGAGATACGACCATGCTTGTTTGTGCCGTGGCGTAAATCTTTTGCCGAGAATCGAATCTAATACATATACCATAGTCGATTCGGCTGCCTAATTCAAATAAAATCATTCTAGAAACAGTTCTTACAAATTAATTCAAAGTACCTGAAAATCCGACGGTTTTACATCGTAGGTAAAATGTGTTTTGCCAAGACTCTCAAGAATATTTCGTCGTTTACCATAATCTTCGACGTGACTGATGATTTCATTTAGAGTATACATTATTTTCGCAGCATGATAACGTGTTTGTGCATTACTGCGAATATCATGTTCGATGTCGAGATTAGCTGCAAATATCCATAGCTTTCTCAATTCAGGATGCGTTTGAAACAAACTAAAACGTAGCGTAACAATACTTTAATAATGTGAATCAAAATAAAGTTCAACATACCGAATCATAAAACTAATTCCTACTTCTTCGTAGTGCTCGTTACAAACAAAACCCCAAATCTCACGGACAAGACTATGGTTTTGCTCTGCTGTCATTGCGTTAGATGTTATACCAACTCGTGATGTATTGCAGCCCATGTAAGATCAGTATTTAGTTAAGATATTGTGTAGTGACATACAATATCATATCATAAACTACGGCAGTGAATACTTAAAATATTTCAGAATACACTGTGATGCAACATACAAAGTGCTCAATATATCAGAGTCACGCATGTGGAAGACTATAATTATAATGTTTAGATTTCTTTTGTTGACGCTATCCGAGAACAAGATTTAGTTAGTCATTTTAACACTAAAAAGCGAGTAGATGGATGAATACTCGTATTTGATTGATGATACTAAGCTGTGCTGACTGCTGAGAGAGAGAGAGAGAAAAAACTACAGGAGGGTAATGAGGAAAACATTTGTATAGAAATGTCTTTCATGTTTAGCACAAAGTGATTTGACTGGTTTTTGTTTACATTAAAAGTTATGCAAGACATGCATATACTGAATCGTTTTCGTAAACCGATTCATTGTTATACCTATTGGCATGTTTTGTAGTCTGAACATGAGAATATTTATTCATGTAGAGTGATAAATAAGCGTCCTATATTCTCTTTAACTTCCAGATGTCATCCATGTGGCTCAAAACTAAAAACACATTAATAGTCACTGTATCGCTTCGGGATGAATAATTAACTATTATTTCTATTCTTAGACATGTACTTAATCAACAATGCATCATTATTCGTTTTCATAGGACAACACTAACTCTTCATTTAGAAAAAAACAAACGACTCCACTCATTTTGAACGAATAGTAAAACACTATTCATGTAGAACAAAATCGTAAAAAGTCTGATTATAATTGATTTTTACGCGATTAGAAATCTATTTTAATGGCACTATTATAATCTGATTTTAACCAGATTTTTCAACCTTAAAAGGCAGATTATTTTTTATCCTGATTTTATTTTAATCAATTTTAATTGATTACCTACAAAACTATTGTGTACTCAAAAAATGTGAGTACACTCTAAATTAGGCCAGTGTGTCCGTCCGGCCGTTAATAAGATAACCTTTGAAAGCCTCATCCTATTGTCATGAAATTTTGTACACATACTGATCTCATTAATATCTCAGTCGAGTTCGAAGATGCGAAGGATCCGCCAAGGAATGGCTAGGTTACCGAAAAAATTGTCAGTATTAACCAGACCATCCCTGAGGGGGGCACAAAGATTTTTTCAAAAACAAAATTTTTTTCTTAGAATTATTCACAACATATATAAATCGACTCAGTTTTTGCAGTACACATAACAATCGGATGCGAATCCGATGTTTCCTCATTTATTACAGTCGACTAAAATAAAATCAAAATCAAAAAATATCTACCGTCGAAGGTTGAAAAATCTGATTAAAATCAGATAAAAGTAGTGCCATTATAATAGATTTTTAATCTGATTATTAATCCAATTATTTTTACATGGGTATCATTGAATGGGGCACAACATTTGGCATTGTCAACAGCAAATGATCAGAAGGAATTATTAGAATAAGTAATTTGCGTTTTTCTTTAGCTCAACTAAAATTTCATCTTAAAAAACCACGAGCTCAAATGCATAGAGCCAGAAAAATGCGATTTATTTTTCTGTAGAAAATTGTACGCTATTTAAGATACTATGGAAGAAAGAAATCGCCTAAAAAACGAATTATCACCATTAACAACGATGTCGGAGACTAGAAAATATCGCTAAGATTGCGAATTATCTTCAAAAGCTCTTCTAAATTGGCAAGTAGATGCTTGAGGAAAACGCGTACACAAGTATAGTTAGTTGTAGTTCGAATGAAAAGAGATTATGACAAAAAGAGTTCTATACAATATTACTTTGTCGTATTCATGAGCCTTTCTACCTTGTAAGCACTAACAATCTTGATCTTCTATTAGCGAATAAAAGAGAGTCGACGTGAAATAGAGTGTATGAAAAAAAATTACGTCGAGAGAGAATGAGACAACATGTTACTGAAAGAGTTGATGAAAAAGGAGAGACAGCGCAAGGAAATGACACTAATTTACGTAGATGTGTTTTGAATAAAATGTCAAATCTTGCAGATGCAAAAAAGATGGGAATATTTAAAAATATTATCAGTTCACGCTTTCCCTCACTATTCCGACATTAATTCTACAAATATCTGCTTTGCCGAAAGCTCACAAGATGGGAAATAGTAAATTTTCAGTTACTACAAAATGTTCTCAGGTACTGGGAGTCATCATCCGTCAAACTCGGAACAATTCAAGAGCACTATGATGCAATCTTTTTGAAGCAACGTTCATACCTTAGATTTGATCGATAATTGCTCGTCTCGTTTATGTCTTTTTGTACGTACAACAAAAATGATTCATTTTTTTTGTTTTCTGAGTACTTTGATCTCGTCTAGATTATCTTTTAACAGGAAAAAATGACAAAGTTAAGAAAAAATATATCCAGATTTACACATTAGTTACTATTCATTTTATTGATCGCCTCGATTAGAAGCAATCCAGTGTCGTTCTTGAAATTTGATTTGTCATTTCCGTGCATTTCCGACATTTATGTCACATATCATTAGTGACGTAGGTTGCCCTTGATCAATTACATGCAAAATATCGTCTGTTCAAAGACAGGTTTGTAATTGGTATTTCCATTCGATAGAAAGGATGATCTATATGCATGCGACCGACTTGACACTGACCTAGCATTGACAAATAATTAATAAAGATTGTGAATAATTAGATTTCAAAAAATTTCATTAACATATTTCTAAAGAATATATAATAACGTATGCATTGTCTTTACATATTTTTTACTTAATAGATGTGATTTGTTTTTATAAACTATAAAAATAAACATATCATCATGTTCCATTGGCAAAGGCTATGCATTTCTAATAGGAACCATTTGATAGTTTGCTTTTTTTTGCTGCTATTTCTATAGGCGTGTCACAACCTAATAATAATGAAGATTGAAAAATTCTCTCGAGGAAACAACATAAGATGAACGAACAGTGGGAATTGTAAATGTGAAGACTCAGTGAATGGAACGAGACATTGATGGCGTTTTATATGTATGAAACTTTAAAAAAAGGCGCCGGAGTATCGCATCAAAGAGAATAAGGGTGTGAGCATGGCTCTACCTCTTATTCTCGGTTTAACTTGTATTAGAAGATCGCAATTGTGTAATCAAGATGCATTATTTATGTCCTAATGACCCATTGATATAAAAATATCCTGTTCTAGATGATAATTCTTCTACTTTTGAAATGATCAAAACGTCTTGCACGTAATTTATATCAGAATAAAACTGAACCGGATGGAAAAATAGCACGATGTTCTTATTCTTCGTTTGCCTTTTTGACAAAAAAATAAATAAATATAGAAATAGTTCCATTGAACGGAAGATTCACAATATACTTGTATCATACTAATTATATACTAGTAGAGGGCAAACATATGAAAAATAATTGGAGGTTTCTATCGTTGAACAAAGGAAAAGTCTATACGTATATATATATATATATATGATAATAGATCATTTAGAAGATGATTGAAACTCCTTTTCTCGTTCATCAACCGAGTGTAGATTAATTTACTCTTTGTCTTTACTTTTTATCATGTCCCTTAACTCGTGTTCAGGAATCTTTCGAAATTCACAACAATGAAGACTCAGGCATCAAAAGACTCAAGCATGCATGCAAAATAATTAGCTTCCGAATCGTATATGCAAACTTCACAGTAGATTTTTCAATGGTTTAAGTATGACTCACATTCTCGAAAAAAAAAACACACGACGTAATTCACCTTGAAATCCAGGGTTGTATTACTGATTCATTCAAGTTAAGTAGGAGAGAGAGAGAGGGAGAATGAACGGCACTAATATTTAGGTATTGTACACATGATTTTATTTTTACTCGGGTCCGAATGCTAACGAGAATGATTTTGTTCAAGTTTGCTTTTTTTCTTCTGGAGAAGACTGATAATAATAATAACATTATTATTACTTGCCTAAAGCGTTCTTTCCTTTTGACAAGAGCAAATATCTGCAGCATCAACTTGAATGATTCATTATTGATTGTGAAATAACGCATGTTGTTTCCTTATCTCGATTGCAAACGTCATTTTTCGCTTACAAGCGTTTGCGACGACCAAGAATGAAAAATCATGAGTTACAAATGGGAGTTCTTTTCTGTATAGCTGTTTTTTTTCTAAATGACAAACAAACATTATTAGAAAGGCTTCTTTGATGACATTGAATTTTGCTGATTCTTAGCATTTTAATGTGACGGTATGTTGGTAATATTCTTTTCTTACTGGAAAAATGGGACGAATCGATAGCTTTTTCTATTAAGCATGTGTTCTATTTTCTTTTTTGTGATAATTTCTTTTTGTTCTTATTATAGACCATATTAATCACAAGAAAAAACTTCGAATATGTTGCCACAACAAAATATGTTTCATTATTATTCTATACGGAAATATGCGTTTCTTTTCTCTTTTTCAATAATAAAATGATGAAACTGACTCGAATATAAAGATCCTATTATATGATCTTTTCGAACGAAAGCTTCATCATTGACGTTTGACAAAAATAAGATCAATATGAGAAGCCATGCATAAAATCAAAAGAATATATATTCTACACTTTTAATGATTCATACGTTCTACTAATCATTGTGCTTTCTCTCAGCTTGTTATTATTTTATATTGAGCCAAGCATAATTTTTTTCTGAGTAAAATTAAGTTCTCTTTCGTCAATATATCGTACAAGATTGTAGGCTTTTTTCTTCAAGTTTTAGATTTCAATGGAATATCAACAGCCAGCACGACGAGGCATGCAAGCAATAAAGTGTGTAGTGGTTGGTGACGGCGCAGTTGGTAGGATATTAAATGTGAATAATATGATACGAATTTATTCGAGTTTTTTTTTCGAACATAGGAAAGACTTGCTTATTGGCTGCATATGCTCAAAATAAATTTCTTGGTGAATATCGCCCAACGGTCAGTCGTTCATTAATTTCTAGTTGATATTAGAAACAAAATATGTTGTGTTTTTTACTGTGGCTCGTTTTCAGATATTTGACAATTATGCCGTGGTAGTAAACATTAATCAGGAACCTTATAATTTAAACTTATTCGATACCGCTGGTGAGTCATTTCGATGCGTTTATATTTTATTGACATAGGTTTCTTTTTTCTTTTGGCTGTAGGTCAAGAAGACTATGACCGTCTTCGTCTATTGAGCTATCCGCAGACTGATATTTTTTTGGTGTGTTTTAGTATTTCACAACCTTCATCGTTGGAAAATGTTCGCTCTAAGGTTTGTTTCATTTTGTTGAACAAATATAAAGCTGCAGATTATTCCATTATTTTTATGATTCATTGTAATAGTGGATACCAGAAATTACTCATCATTGTCCTCGCACACGATTTATACTTGTCGGAACACAAATTGATCTTCGAGATGATCCGAAAACTATTGCCAATTTGAAAAAGTCCCATGAAACTGTGGTCTCATTCAAACAAGGTGAAAAAGTGAGCCGTGAGATTAAAGCAGTCACATTTGTTGAGTGTAGTGCGTTAACACAAGTAAATTTATTGATCACAATTTCATTTCTCTTTAATCAAACCTATTGTACTTGTAGAAAGGGATCAAGGAAGTATTTGATGAAGCAATCATTGCCGCTCTTGTTCGACCAAAAGAACCACGCAAACCAATATGTACTCTTTTATGATGGAAACGACGACTAGAGAACTAATTTACATATTGTTATTTTTACAGGTCGGCTGTATTATCAAACCTTTAAAATTCGTACAAAAATAATCAACAGAAATTTTTAGAAATCGTTTATCTACACATGAAAACACATGCTATTTGCGTATGAGGTATATTGAGTTGATGAACCAGAGCATAAAAATACTCTATTTCTGCTAATAATTCTATTCGCTCGCGTTTCGAAATCATAGAGAATTGATGATGCTAATAATTGGACAAAACAATTATGATAGTTGGTCTGTCATTTAAATGATGTTCTTAGATTAACGAGAAAAAAATAGATAATTGATATTGGTTAGCCGTGAGAAAGTTTCTTGTCGTTAGTAAAGCAACAAACATTCACAAATCTAATATAACTATCATGAAGATATGTAAGCTGGTACGATAGGATTCTGTAGCTGTTTGCTACGGGAAATAACTATAAGAACAGTTTCCATGCATTTGTTTCCTCTTGAATTTCAAGAAGATAGTCTAATTAATTATTCTACTTCCTGACGGTAGACTTTTTTTTAAATTTTCACATGTCCATTACACTAAAGTAAACTCAGAATGATTAAGTCGTTGACGTTGTGGAAGAACTGTTGCAAGATGTTTTAATTTGTTCCAGTATAAATTTCAATGTGGCTAAGCTCCTAATCTGAGTTATGTCTAGAATAATTGCAAACTTAATGTATCATTACAGACCCGAAAACAAATCGTTCATTGTTCTTCCATGTTGTAATTACATAAACATGAAAGTAAAAAGAGCAATAACATAACTAGATTTTATTGTCAAAATCATGCATTGATGAATGAGTCACATATTCAATTAGCAGCTGCCGGATAGAGCCACGCTTTCAAATCAGTTTGTCGAGCCAATGATTCGATTACAAAAGCAGCTTCTTGTACCATTTTTTCGTAGGTAATGATATTAATATTTCGGATGGTATCACATGCCTTATGGTAGTAAGGATGTTGACTGGCATCTGCAGTACCACCTAATCCTTGTCCAGGACTTGTATCAAATCTATCACGTTGCGCTTGCATTTTATAATCATCTGCACCTGAAAAGAGGCCACCTGCGGCGATACCTGCAGTTAAAAATGGAGCAAAGTCACTTAACCTGTTAAATGGAGTATAATTCCATGGTAGCTTCTGTCGAATGCACCAATCTCGAAACAATGCAGTAACTTTGTTGCTACCAGGAAGAGCAGAACGTCAAATTGTACTATTATCAATTGTACTGCCATCATAAATACCGCATATGTAATTAGGCGATCTGAGCATGTCGAAATTTAGATTGATCAGATAGTCAGAGATGCGTTCGCCGGCAATTGTCGAGTTTTGAGCTTGTGTTATGTGATAGGTAGAACCAAGAAGACCGAGTTCTTCAGCGCCCCACCAACAGAATCGGATGCGGTACGAATATTTTGAATAATTTATTGTTTGAAAGAGATATGTCAGTGCCACTGCTAAAGCGAGGTTGGCTGCCGTGCCACTACCTATGAGTGGATAGATAAAGAGACCCTGTCACCAGATAACTAATGATTGTTCAAAATAATTGATTATTTACTAGTGAAATTCGAATTGCATCATTCTTTTGACTTATAATTGTTAGCTTATTAGGGATGGTATGGCACATTTGTGTGCAACTAATTCTTTGGAATATTTCTTTCATATAAAAATGGCTAATCAAGAAGACAAAAATCTAGTTTCTCTCTCTCTCTCTCTCTCTCTCTCTTGATATCTAGCTTTTTACTCTGTACTTCCTTAGTGATTGTGCTTAGGGGGTATTTTACTATCCTATGGGGAGCTCACAACCATTATCAATCGAATGCAAGCTACAATATCTCAATGTACAAGTATGCTGGCTTACCATTATCATTGATACCTGGTCCAGCTGTCATACTATCGCTATGACGTCCGATTTCGAGTTGCATCAGCAAGCAGTTGACCCAAATAATAGGATAGAAATAAAGCTGGCGGTTCTTTTGTCTTACCAAGACTGAAAATGATTGACTGTGGAAATATGGGATCATTGTAAAATAACAACTGGGCCATAAATAATTAGGCTGTTAGTACTGTCCGAATTTCTTCTCTTCCTTGTACCCGATTGAGCTGATTCTATTCTCAAAAGGTTTCACGTTCAATTCTCTACAAAATAATGTATAGACGATAATACGAAATTTTTAGGTATTGTTTCGGTTGAACAAAATACGAGGTGGCCCAAAAACTGAAAATGTAATCGTTTTCTAGCAAAGTTTTGCAATTTTAAATCTATGTCAGAATTGTATACAAATCAGATATTCTCTATCTGATGGGGACTAAATTCATTTTTTCTACTTGCATTAACCTGATAGAAAATGGCTAATTAGTTGCTTGCCGCCATAACATCAGCGAAATGTTAGTGTTATAAAGGGATATCATCTCGATTTTTTAACAAAACAATATTTAAAACTATTTGGATTTGTATTTAGTAGGGAAAAATATTCTTTTTCATATGATGCTTGAACGAGTCTGATTGGTTTAATCTTGTTCGAAATATGATCGATCTGCGGATGGCCCTAATAAGTAAGTCAAAAATGCTAAAAAACAGTGATGGGGCTTTTACGGAAGCCATGAATGAAAGGATAAAATAAAGAGAAGAATTTCGCTTTGATGATCAATCGAGAAAGAATTTCAAGGGCTACAATTTTGCATATTTAGCTTTGACACGATTAAACGACTTGACTTATTATTAGCGAAATATCAATTTTTAAGTTACATTTTTTCAGGTTTTTTGTACCCCTCGTATTTTGTTCACCCGAAACAATACCTAAAAATTTCGTATTATCGTCTATACATCATTTTGTAGAGAATTGAACGTGGAATCTTTTGAGAGTAGAATCGGCTCAGTCGGGTACGAGGAAGAGAAGAAATTCGGAAAATACTAACAGTCTAATTATTTATGGCCCACCTGTTAGAAGTGCAAGTGGATTGTATTTTGCAGTAATTATACTCTTTTCAGCAAAATTGCAATCACCACCTTGAAGGAGTGCTATATGACCAGCTGGCGTCGGACTGGTTGCAAGCCAATCAGCAAATAAACAACCGAAATTGGGAACAGCAGTGAGTGGTATAAAGTCCGAAATATTGAGGGATACCGAGTAAGGAACATGAACGAATTCGGCGATGGATAAATTCGTTGAATAAGTATGATTTTTAATGATGCCATCAATTGATGATGATAGGATTGGATTTCGCACAAGTGCAAAAATTCTCACTGGGAAAAAACTTTTGGTTATTTTATAATTTGTATTAGTTGACAGATAATCCGTTATGTAGTTCAATGTTTGATTGAAGCCATGCGTATTTACCGTTCGCAAGACGTTGCAATGTATGCAGATGTACCATGGTTTCATCGATACGTATCGTTTTTGCAAATGTAGAATCGAGAAGGGATTTGTTATCATGAATCGAGGACTTGAGTAGATTTTTAACGAGAGAAACTGTTACTGACACAAAAGCCATGTTAATGAGTGATAATATTAACACAAATGAGAAGAAAAAAAATAAGATTTCGAACTCGTTTATTTATTCGCAATACAATGTTTTGTTCATTGTCACCTAACAATGTGTCTCTTATATTGTTGTTGATTGCATTTGATAGAGAAAGCATTGCAATTTGTGTTTTTTTGTTGATTCAATAAAACTACATGTCGTTATAGATAGTGACAATGCAAAATATATAAAATAAGAGATAAGCACACGATGATGTTCTTCGAAAGGGTTTCACCATCATCATTTCTGTAAGGAATATCATATCTCATGTTGCGATTCAGAATTATTCTCACCATTATCTGTTCTATCTCCCAGACAGCAACATCAGCTTAGGGCAAAACAATCATTTCATGTATAGTACAAGACAATAACGGATGATCGAAGAGTTTTTGCACAAGATTGAAATTCATATTTCTCTTGTTCTACTCANTTTAGAGGTCCATAGTGTGTGTATTTTGTGTAAAAAAACAGAAACAAAGCATGAGTAGAACAAGAGAAATATGAATTTCAATCTTGTGCAAAAACTTTTCGATCATCCGTTATCTCTGGTTGTATACGGTAGTTTTGTTTCGCGTATCGTAATTGAGTGATCTATTGTATGAACAAAACAAAGTAGTTCTCTTTCAAGCGATGAAAATTAAAGTGAATCGTTCACAATCATATCAAAGCCGCTTGTTGTTATTCGTCAAGAGATTTTCAACATCATGAACGGTATGTACTTCAAAACGTTCTCATGAAATCACTTTACCTAAAACAAGAGGCAATGTTTTGAATGATAGCATTCTTTACAGTAAACGATGACGAGAGTAAACCAATAGCAATTCCCTTAATTAGTAGTTAAATATCTTTCAACTTTTAAAACACACCTTCTGTCATTATTGAGATATATGACAATCAATCAGATACAATGAGAAAATGGTTCTTTTGGCTGATACCGTTTGTTCGTTCGTTCGTTCGTAGGCTTGCAATAAAATATTAAATATTCACAGTGATCTATATATGTGCAATCAATTGATTATCTTAGATGATGGAATTCATTAATTTTGTATCGAAAGCAAATATAGAAGTTGTAGACACAAATAAATTCTAGGCCGAAATAGAAAAGTTTTCTTCTTTCATGCTTGAAGAAAACTGTTTTATCACCAGTAATCAAACTTCAAATAAGAATTTATTCATTGAAGAATGGTTTATTTATTCAATCCATTGGTTTTCATTGTGTAAAATTACAAATTATTCATTGGAAATATGGTTGTTTCAACATATTTCTTTTCTAGCGTTTGAAAGCAGGTAAAATGTGTGTTATTCTGTTTTTTTCTTCGCAAATGCAATGATGTTATTGTCAAAAGGAACGTTTTGCAAATAGGAAAAAAATGCAAGGAAGAAGTAAAAACATACATGCAATAGGTGAATTCTGTCACATGTTTGTGAATTCAAAAATAAAAAAATAGTAAAAAAATTAACGTAAGTTTGTTGAATAAGTAGTGGGGAGAATCTAAGAGTGAAAGTCGTGTCAAATGCTGTTGCAAACAAAAGTTCAGCTGTACTGACTTCAAACTAGTGATGTACAGAAAACATACATGCATTCGTCTTCTACCAGCTCGTTTTTAATATTATGTTAGTTATATCTAGGAAGAGAGAGAGGCCGCCACACTAGCTATAACGCAATTCATTTAGAGTAGGACTATCAAAGTTTGAGGACTAATTCTAGAACGGCTAAATCTGTCTTAGCATTATTCTTATTTTACTTGAGAACTCCGATTGACAATGGCGAATAAGCAGACATGAATATTAGATACAAGGATAGTCGTCAGAGTCTTGCTCATTAAATATGTTTTTCTCTGACTCATATTAGTTGTATAGTCTAGATAGAGATATAATCAAATTTTGTCAAAATCCAACAGTCATACTAACAAATGTCTGACATAAAAATCGCATGATTATCAATTATTAGATGGCTGAGTCACGTGAATCTTCGCAAGATACATCAAGAAACCGAATCCCATTTAATCACAATCCTGGAAAAGATATTAATATATTGCTACTTGGTGAAACAGGTGTTGGTAAAACAACTTTTATTAATGCATTTGCTAATTATCTTACTTATAATACTCTTATGGCGGCACTAAGTGGTGAAATGCAAATACTAATACCTTGTGTCTTTTCCGTGTCTGACAGTGATACACATACACACACGCCAATAAAAGTAGGTTCCCACGATGATAATGAACTTTGCGAGGATAATGGTAAATCACAAACACAAGGCTGTAAAAGTTATCTATTTTCCATTGGTGATCGTTTCCTTCGATTAATCGATACACCAGGCGTAGGTGATTGCCGTGGCGTAGAACAGGATAACAAAAATTTTGACCACATCCTTGCTTTTGTAAGTCGATATGAACACTTAAATGCAATATGTATTATGCTTAAACCAAATGAAAATCGATTGAATATTTTTTTTAAATATGGTATTAAAGAATTATTAAGACATCTACATGTGAATGCTAAAGACAATGTTATGTTTATTTTTACCAATGCTCGAGCAAATTTCTATATGCCCGGTGCAACATCAAATCAGTTGAGAATTCTACTTGATGAACTAGAACGATCCACACAAGTTCAGGTACCATTCACTAAAGAAAATACGTTTATATTCGACAATGAATCTTTTCGTTACTTGGCTGTGAATAAAGTTGGATGTGACTTTTTCAAGGATCACGAAAACATTTTTATCGATAGTTGGAAGAAATCGGTGGATGAGTTATGTCGTATGCTTGCTCGAATTGTTAAATGTGATTTACATGCTGTTCGGGATATGCAATCGTTAAATGAAGCTCATCAGCTAATACGTAAATTAACTCGGCCTATCGGAGAAGTAGCTACGCTCATCCAAGAGAATATTCAATTGGCTGAACAACATAAATGTAAAGTCTCAGCAAACGCAAATGATATTACACCTAGTCGAATGCCACAAAAAACTGCAAAAGTTGTTTCACTTGAGTATCCTCGTACAATTTGCACGAGTAAAAAGTGTTCAACAGTTGTTAAAGTCAACGATGAAATAAAAATGGATTACAATGTTCAATGTCATAAACATTGCTATTTAAAAGGAGTCGAACAAGAGGTTATTAATAATCCTATTCTGAAGCATTGTCGTGCCATCGACAAAAGAACAGGTAAAGCACAATTTTTCATTAGAATGGTCACTTTTTATCTATGGCTCATAGAACTGAAGTTAACGAGGGCAACAAGTGTGCCTCTTATAGAATCAATAATTATGAAATATCTGTTATACTTAAATGAAAGATCGGTGTCTATACGTGTAGTCGATACAGATGTTCTTTGAATTTTTGTCAAAGTATAGATTTCTTGATAAGAGTATTTCATCGACCCACTAATTATTTCACACGATGACTTCTCACTGATATACTCCGTCGATAAATTCTGTTTAATTTCAGGTATATGTAAACGATGTAGCTGCGAATGGAAGACTCATATTCATGTAACTTATGAATTTCAAAAACAATTAACTTATTTAGTGATGGATAATGAACACGTAACTTCTTCGTCGCAAAGCGTAATATCATCTATTGACAGACGAATACACGAATTGAAGCAAGAAGAGCAAATAATCCTTCATATATGCACAAACCTTACATTATTTCTAAGAATGAGTTCAATTAATCCAATCGATGAAGATATTGTTGAATATATCAATCATTTTATTCGAGAAGAAAAAGAAAAAGGAATCGCTGGCGATAAGAACGAAGAAATCATTCATCGTCTAGAATGTCTAATTGCAGAGTATCGAGCTGCGTTCAATTTAATCAATTCTAATGTTATCAATGAAACAGATAGAAGCTATACTCCGACTATTGAAGAAATATTTACTTGTAAATTGCAACTTTTTGAATTACCGATTACAGGAAAGTATATCGAAGACCAAGTCGAAAGTTTAAATTCAAATCAAATGAATCTGGCCGCACAACGAGAACATTATATTGATTTACCACAAAGTGCAAAATCTTCATCGACTATGAAAGTATTAAAAAAATTATTGGCTTAAAGCATCTTTGCTTGTTTTATTATTTACTTTAAAAATAATAAATACCTAATTTAGAATCACTTGAATTTTTCTTCTATATGATGAACGTGTAACATATAGGTACTCATACATGAATAACTTTTTTCACGAGTAAAAACAGATGATCCATGTACGAATAATACAGAGTTGCAAAGAGTTCACTTGATCGTAGTCATGAAATCAACCTAGTTGTAATTGAGATCCACTAAACAAACCATTGCAAAGAAAGTAATCTAGTGTGTCAAAGTTAGGGGCACAATTTAGTCTCTCAGATAGTGGTCGTAGTGTCCCACCCACTACGTACATCTCCAGTCAAAGTACTTGAAGTTAAAATAAGAATTCTGAAAACGAAGAATAATTACAATAACAATATAATAAACTACGGGGGCAATCTCATGTATTGCAACCATTACGTTCTCATATGTTGCGATACTATCGAACAAGAGGTTCAGATAGTCATCGTTTTAACTGAAAATGTAAAAGAATTAAAAACAAAAGCAGCCTTTGTTAATTTTAAATTATACTGATACTTTCATAAAACTTACATCGTTTTTACTTTCAAAAAAATGTAATTATTTGAAAATCAGTTTCATCGTCTAAATGTTTTTTAACAACATATGCACAATCCGTACTGCTGTCTGATAATTTATTCGTAACTCGTTCACTATTCATTGTATCTTCCAACTCTTCTGTGTCTTGAAGTAATAATATTGGATTAACTCTCCTCCCCCCTCCCTCACAATAAAAGAACCCGGGTCTTTTATTATGTTCCAGCGTAAAAATTTTCCAGGGGGATCTTGTATTAAGAATCGCATTTTTCCTAATATTTAATTTAAAAGGTTTTTCAGAAAACTAAGAAGATTTTTAGGATTTTACGGGTGTCATTATAATTGTGAACACCTTCTCTTAATGTTTCCAGCTTAAAATGCTAAGAATCAGGCATATTTTGATGGAAAAACGCTGATTAAAGTTTGTAATTAGCAAAAAATTAATTAATTAAAGAGGGATCTACTATTATGTTGGACAAACTTTTTTCAGGGGGGTCTTCTATAATGGCGGTGGGGGGGGGGGCGGGTGCATACTCGATAACCTCTTGGAATAAACGTAGAGATTAGTACGATTTCCGAAATCACTGTCATTTGTATAGCGACAGTATTAACACATGCAGGCCGTACTGATCCAGTTAAGTTATAAATTCTATCAATATAAAGTCCGAGAAGTGGATTTAAAATTGCATAAATAATTATGTATGATGAATAAAGAAATGATGAAATAGCTCCGATAGCTGATATATTTTTATGTTTTGGTGCTAAACCACTTAAAGACGATTGAATAAATGAATTCAACGCAATATCATCAGGAATATATGTTGCAGCAATAATCCATGCAGATTTAACATTATTAACAGATGGATAATAATATGGAATATACCAAAGAAGAAGTAAAATAACAGCATCTAACCTTGACCATGGAAGAGGAGTTTTAATAAAATTACCAAATAGAAATACGAACGTAGCACCAAGTAGTTCACCGAAATTTGATGCACCAACAATAATTTGTGACCATTTCGATTGTTCAAGATAACGCTAAACTACTTGTGGTGCAATACCATTTTCGGCATATCGATGTGCATAAAGTGTTAATGCATAACAACTCCATAACCAAACAAATCGTCGATGTGTAAAAATTATTTTCGCTCCAATAAAAAATGATTGAATAAAAATATTAAATCCTGCTAGGATATATTTAAAATAGTTTGATTCAATCTTTTGATCAATCGCAGTAAATTCATCATTAAAATTGTTAGTTTTTGCTAATCCAAACGAACTAATGAAAAGCCAAACAGCAGCAGCTACTGTAAAAAGTATCGGTGAAATTATAAATGAATAATGATTTCCTAAACGAGGAATTAAAACGAGACCAGTCATAAATGCTCCACTAACACCGGCTATTTCATAGAAAATATGAACACGGGCATCCATTTTTTGTAATTTTTCACCATTATCACCAACAATATCTCTTGGCATAACTCGCCGAATTAATTCAACCATTCCAAAAGCTACACTAGTAATGCAGTAGATTTGTACTATATCTACCATAATATCTATAGTCATGTTTATCTAATGGTACAAACTCTTTTGGTTTTATATGATCACCAGTTGCAATATCAACAACTATAAGTACGTCACTAAAGATTGCAAAAGTAAAAATTGATATTGAGAGAACCGTACGAGTAGGCCAACGCTTTGCAAGTGGTGCAACAAGAATAGAATAAATACATTGGCAGGCTAGATTAAGGCCAGAAATTAATCCAACTCGTTCAAATGTACGTACAGTTGAATTACTATGAAAAGCTGCTTGATCATAACGATTAATGGCGAGAGAAATAATCGATCCATGGAATGCTTCTAAACCAAATTTATAAAGCATGATACCAATAATATAAATAACAACATTTTTTTTTCTTCAGCTGAATAAAGTTTCCATATACGAGATATTTCAGATTTTCCGCCAGACATTGCTCTAAACTCTTGAAATAGGTTTGTTCTACAATAAGACAAAGATTAGTATTTTAAGACTGTAATCATTCTTTAGGTTTTAATATATTTTACGTAAAAGAATTCTTATTTGAGATCTTTTACGTGTTAATATGCCGTCGGTTAGAAAGTGAAATATATATAGTATTGAAAAAAACAAAAGTAATACGAAGAACATTCAACGAAGAGTGGCATAATTTTGTTATTCTTGTATTTTTTTTATTGAAGTCCATTGAATCTTATTGATTAACTTTTCAGTGTATCAAAAGATATTCATAACTGTTTTGATCAAAGTAAAATAGACGAAAAATCCCGATCATACTCTAGAACGACATCAACACAATAGAATCAAATAGAGTGATTATCTACAATGTCATAATCAATGTGAGTTAATCGTAGATTATTAGCTCAGAAGAGAAAAATATAATACAGCAATTACAATTATCAAGAAATAAAATTTGAAAAATGTCCTGAACGAATTGTCATATGAATCAATGAACACACTTTATATAATTACATATATACTGATTATATAATCTAAACATGCTAGACTCAACAAGCAGTCAGCTTATTGATTTATTAAAATAATTTTTGGAAAAAATCTTCAAAATGTTGAATGGAATATTCTGAATTTGTCTCTCGCTTTTCGAACACGATAGAAACCTTAATAACGATATTTGACAGATACTTTAATATGATTAATCCTTCTATAGGCATTATTAAACACATATTTAGCAAGATTGAGTCGTACTGCAGGGTTCAAAATAGATCTCGCTATACTCTTCATCCTCAGAGACGCCCGCTAAGGATAGATAATAGTTCGCAGACTGAGACTTATGCTATGCCCTCTTCGTTCTTTTATGAAGTTGAAATTTTTGCTATATTTCACATTTTAATCTTGTCAGCTGATTGTGGTAACTAGTTCTTACAAATGCAAGAGCTATAGCAATGAATGATGGAAGCTTTCAAATAGGAAGCAAAAAAGACGAGATGAAATGTTTTTAAATACTAAAGAAAACAAACGAATCATGTATGAATTGGTTCATAAAAAGAAAAAAGAAAAGATTCTCACGTCTCTAAATATAGGAATAAATCGTTACTAGAGAAAAAATAATGCTCGACCTTTATTTCTTTCACATCATGCATACTTCATTGTTCGAATAGGTCAACAAACGAATATAGGATAAGAATAATTCTAGCAGTGAACTTACTTACCTCATGATCCAATGAGAAAAGAAACGAACAAGACGATAGTAAGATTGTAAAGGTTAACCTCACTAAAAACAAATATTTTAATCATAAATAGTTCGTTCCGAACTACTTCTAGGGCTGGAAATGACTCAATATTTCCAAGAATAAAGTTCTATAGATAAATTATAAAATTATCTATTCACTGGAAAACATGAATATGATCATCTGAGCACATCAGATCGAGATTGTACTGCCGCGTTAGAGAACATTTGGATGTATAAACAGTAAGTTTATACATACTCTATGTATCCATTCATGTCTCCACCGAATCCTATGTTGATTGGGTATCAATCAATAATTCAAACATGTATTGTACGTTTGAGACAAATGCTATTCTCATAAACTCATTCACGAACTGTTAGAGTAGTGCGCAAATTTCGTCTAATGAATATAAGTATAAAAATTTTCATTTTGTCCTCTGACAGTTGTTCAATTTTGAATACTACATGCTATCGCATGACCTACAATTTGACGATGAAAAATTATCCAATCATGTTCTTCAATATGGACAGATGCCAGTGAATATCTGTTTGAACTATTTTTTTTTTGTCCATTCTCTCATATCAATTTCACTGAAGTCATCATTTTTAAGAGTTACGTACACTTCTCAAATACGACAGGCAATACGGTTGTTTCGTAGGATCGACAAGATTTCACTGAAGTTGATCATGATCAACGGTAATCTCATCAATTTGTTTGCCTGATTTTTGACGATGTCTAACAGAATGTTGAGAACAAAACCCTTTTTCACACTCTCGATATATGCATGTACCTGTTGCTTTACTGAACATTGCAAAAGAAAATCACAGAAAACAAAAGAAAGCAGTCATACTTAGTTTTAGAATGTCGATTTTGTCATAGTAGTTTCAAAAACAAAACTCACGATTGGTTATTCATTTAGAATTAGATATTTACGAGCTTTCTAACATTATTCAATTTAGAATGAAGAAATATAATATGTATAGAAACTGTGCAGTTATACCAACTTCCGGCAAAGTAGAGCTGGTTTCATACAATTCTATTTAATAACCGGGTTGATATAATTTAATCTAAAAGCATATGATTTTATCGATTCATAAATATTCTATCTTACAAATGATTTCATTTTGCATTTTTTCTTTCGACTACGGATGTCTACGTATACAACGTATATAATCGTTCTACTTTAATTTTGTTACAATGCAAAAAATAGCAAAGCAGAGTAAACGTATTATACAATACGTAGGTACGACCATCGTTGAAATCATCGATTGCGACTGTTAAGACAATAAAATGCTACTATATTTACGTATTTATTTGATATTATGGAAGTGAACAAAAAAAAATATAGTACATAAAAATATGAAGCAGAATAAATAATTGAAAAGCTGAAATGAAAGAATAAAGGAGTTTCGGATTTTTCTTTATTTACCTACTGCGTCTATTAGTTTTGTTTTCATCACTCTTTCTTAGTTTCTCATCATGACATGATAAAAGTACTAAAATAAACTTTGGACAGTATGTTTCGACAAAAATTCAATGGATACAACTTGTACAAACGATACTAAAACACGGCATAATACTTCAACATTCTAATCGTGATAGTTTTTCGATGTAAATAAAATGGAGCTGATAAAAATAATTCGCATGAAACAATCTACCAGAAAAAAATCTTATTTAGGAGAAAAACGTTTTGAGAAACAAACTGATGGAGCGGTAAACCTAATATTGTCAAGAAAAAACAAATCTTACGATGAAAAATAAAGTCTTTCGCCTGTCTATCGTTTTATGCTAGTACGAATAATCATAGTTATTTTCTATTGATAAAATCTCTTACTAATCGAACTATAAAAATATTACAAGTTTTCAGTGTGTGTTATTTGAAACCCATGTGCATTGACTTTTTGCTCAAATATAATAATGTGACAATTTGTTTAAGTCCTTATATACTATCATGCAGAGCGCGAAAGAAAAAGTAATGAAACGAACAAAGTGGATGAAGATCTGTGGAAACTAAATTATTTATACACAATAATTATGACTGCATTTCAACAATGTTTACTTTCATGGTCTGTTTTCGTTTTCGTTTACAAGACCGTCGGAATAATTTAACAAATCCTCTATTTTTCAATTGAAAATTATCAAATTGCTCTTCAATATCTTCTAATAAGACTCCTCTTGTTTCAGGACAGAAAAGATATACGAAAATTACAGCCAATAAACTCAGACCACTGAAAAGGTAAAAGACTCCATGAATTCCTAATGGTTTTATTAACTCGAGGATATAGGACATAATCGTACCCATAAACCAGTTACTTCCTGTGGTCAGTGACATAGCTCTAGCTCGAACATTAAGTGGGAAAATCTCAGCTGCATAAATCCAGGCAATGGGTCCCCAAGAAATTGCAAAAAAACCTACGAAAACAGCCGTAGAGACAAGCATCAGTATACCAGAACTTGTTGCACAATTCACTTTCTCCTCACTTATGGTAGTTCCATTGATGATGCTTGTTGTTACAGTACAACCTGTAACAAAGATTGTTGCTGCTACAAGATGCCCAATTACCATAGCTAGTCCACCATATATGAGCAGCTTACGGCGTCCTAATCTGTCAAACATGAACAGAGCTGGTATAGTGCTTAACAAATTTGTACCAGACAAAATCAATAATGATATGATGCCCTTCCCAAGAACACTTTCATAAATAATACCACCAAAATTAAATATAGGATTAATGCCTGTTGCCTGTTGTAAAACATGCATACCCATACCAACACCAAGTCTTTCAAGCATTTTCTTTTTTGTGAATAGCTCTTTGACTGAAATTTGGTTACCCTCTTCTTCTATAGCATCAGCTATAGCGTCGAGTTCACCTGCGACATCATCTATTCTACGAATACGCTTCAAACTAGCTTCGGCTGCATCACGACCCTTTTTCTTGTACAACCATCGAGGAGTTTCTGGACAGAAAAATATGCCAGTAATAATTAGAAGTGGAGCAATTAAAATAACTCCATTTGATAATCGCCAGCCCCATTTGTGATTTTGTAAGAAAATATTTACTACATTCGCAGCAAACAATCCAATGACGACAGTCATTTGCATAAAACCAGAAAGCATTCCACGTAAATTCGTTGGAGCTATTTCTGAAGCGTACAATGGGCAAGAAAACGAAGAACAGCCAACACCAGTACCTTCAACGATTCGTCCAAAAAGTATCAGAATCATAATCTTTGATGAACCTCCTGGCGGAAAAATAACTATTGATGTACCAATAAAAAAAAGAACAGCCGATGTGAAAATAACAGCTCGGCGTCCAAATCTCTCTGCTACAACTGAAGAAATAAACACAGCTCCCAAGAAGCATCCAACATTGTACAATAGATTGAAAAGTACCAAAAATCGCCTGTATTCCGAGGGCAGAGCAGCCACGGGAAGATTGCAGTCACTTACATTACCATATACACCAACACAAAAGTCATTTTTAAATGATCTCATAATTACGATACCGCCCGTAACACCTTGATCATAGCCGAAAAACCATCCACCCAACGAAGTAAAAGCCGCCAAGAATACAGCAAAATGCGGTTTTCCATAATGAACTTGTTTATGATCATGATGATGTTGAATTTCAACATGCGGTTCCTTCGACACTTCTTTAATATTTTCATCAATTTTATCCACAGGTTGAATCGACATAGTTCAGTCTCTCTGTTATAGTTACTAAAAAAAAGTAAAATTACAAAGTTACTCAAGAATGATGATAAAGATAGTAGTCTAAGGAAAAACACGAGCCTAAAGGTTGTGAGAGTTATATGAGTGTAGACTGTATTAAATTTTCTTGTTGGTAAAAAACGTTATCTGCTAGATCATACAAGTGCTGTTGCAAAATCTGACAAATATTTCTAATATTTACTGCTACTAGGTATTTATAGTAAAAGATCGGTATTGGTTTACAATGAAGCCCGATCTAGTACAATTTAGGTATTCTATAAACGAGAACAAGACAGAAGTTTCTTGTTTCAGAACTTTTTTTACCTTGAAATAAACGAAACTATATTGACTTAGCTTATTTGTCTACTGACACAGTCTGAATGCGCATATAAATGATTACAAGGCACATATAACGAATGCAAAATATCAAAATCCTTGAAAAAAAGGTAAACATTCGATTAACTAAAAGTAATCGATCTAATCTAATCTAATCTAAAACTAAAACTTCACTTTTGCTTTTGTTTACTATATATTTTATTTGTATTTTCCACCGTGTATTAGATGTGTTGACATGTTTGAGTTTTGTTTTCATTTGAATAAAAATAAAATATATATTTTGAAAGTACCTATTCAGAGGCATTCAAACAGAAGTTTGCTATCATTGAGTTCAAGGATATGACACATAATTTGCCTTGTACTAATGTCCCAATGGCGTGTAAAAATATTTTTGGTCAAAAATTTACAAGTTTTAATTAACTACAAACTTCATAGATCTTGATCGTTCATCTTGGAACTTCTATTCTGTTTTCTCATGAAAGGAAACGAGTATATTTTAGTTGCATGTAAAACAATAGCAAGTATTGGCACGCAGCCATGTTTAGGAAATCAGTTTTTGTGTTTGGTTCTTGTAGATCAAAAACAAAAAATGAAAAAGATACTGTTTGAACATGATGGAGAATCTAATAAAAAAATTCAATTAGCTCCAAATAATACAGAAATCATTTTTTGATGTTCAGCGGAGGCGAATGTTCATGGGAGAAAGATCTGAAAAGCTGATATTGATTAGAAGCTATCTAACATAGTCAAAGTCGCTTATGCTTATGAAATGAGCTCATACGTAGGATTGATATCTAGCTTAAGCTATCGTGTTTGGGTGAGAGATACACAAGGTATATGTTATGATGATAATATTTCATCTGAAACATTCTTTTCTCGTTCATTTCGTTGACTTTCTGAACGCACTACATGTCTAGTAGTGAAATCAGGTAGTAGGTATGTAGGATCTGATGAAAACATTATACTGGTGTGACTTAAGAAAGCAATAAGAAATAAAAAAGTTATACAAGAGAGTAGAAATATCAAATATTGTGTATGTTTACCGTCTACAGTAGGTAATAATGTAGGAAAGACCACAGTCATAAATAAAGTAACGTCATATATGAGAAGTAATTAATATATCGAAGGTCTTAAAAATAGATGAGTTACACTACATATGACGTGTAATCAGAATGTTGAAGGACATAGTTGTATACATAGAAATGAAGGTGTGTCAGTTAAAGAATGTATAAGGTATGTGCATGCTAATCAATGCATACAAGGCCATTGATTCTAGTTAGATAGTAAAGATAGAGACGATGACGTATTGATAGAGTATGAAAGAGATAATTGATATACGTTTTTGGAAGCTCATAGATGTAAATATTATCGGTATAAAAACAAAGAATTGAATTAATTTGTTGGAATGTCTGTGATTTTGACCGATTTTATTCATAGATGGAACTTTGTCGTATGAACAATATTCGAAAAAATTGCTATTTGTAAAAATTTCAATATGTTTTGTTGAAGGCATCGAAACAAAAAACCGATATGAGAAGTTAAAATTAAACAGTCAAGACTTTTTTTCTTATCGCCCAACATGTTTGGCTTTACCAAACTTTCAAAACAAAAATCACTTAAGTACTTACCCACTTTACCGACAAAGACTATGTAGACTAATGAATTGAATTGTGATAAACTTACATTAATAACATCCCAAGAAAACATGATTTGAGGTACACATCTGAATGAAATGTCACGATCGGATTAGACACAGCATATTATTTCATTTTGAATCAATACATGCTTATATTTGGATAGGTGAATAATGATATTTACTATTCTTTTATTCATATGCGCAAAACATAAGCTTATTGTGCTCTGAAAAGATCAAAGAAGAATACGAAAAATTCGATAGGCTATAAAGAATGTTTCATAATAGCCTAGAATAAGTTGTCTGTGTCATTTTGGATACGTTTCTCCTGGTAGGCCACTTCTTTATAAGAAATATTCAATTACAATAAGATATGGTACTCTACAATTTTACGGTTTCGCTCTAATATAAATGTTATTTTGCATATTTTTAAATAGGTGCCCATACAAATCTGTGGAGTATGTTTTCAGAGTCCAGCGGAGTGGTTAGCATAAATATATTTGATAGAGTGCAGCTCTACGAATATTTTATTCTTTTTAAGCCTATTGCTAAGTGGCTCAAAATAACTTACATTTACATAATCTACGTGATAGAAAGTCACTTTCTTGAGTAACGTACTCAATTCAGGGTAGGGATACATTTTTAAAACACACGTTAAAATACCTTTTATCAACTGTGACTGGAAATTGTGAAGGATCCTTGCAATGTAATCGCTGCATAATGTGCTCATGGCTGTTATGCTTTAGATTATTGTAGATTCTCATTATTTTAAGCGTTTCAAGGCACTTATTGTGGACGTCACTTGCAACTACTTACGTTCACATAGTTTAGAAGAAATTGTAGTGAAGGAGCTCATTGGGAAGACTGAATGTGATTTCTGGCCATACGCAGTATTTTGCAAAAGCACCTCATATATATATAACATTTGTGAGGATAAAATGATTGAGTTCTTTAGTTTTGACCATGAGCAAATGTTATAGTGTATGCGTATTCGAATATAACTGTCGTCCGTACATATTTCTATTTAGATTAGTACAAACTCGTCCTATAAACGTTTCAGATATCCTTAATTTTTCATTTATAAATCAGTTTCAGATGGGCAACAAGGAATGGTCAACTTGATCAAAAACAAAAATTGTCGTTTAGCCCTCCTTTTTATCACACGGATTCCTCTATGTAACACAGCAAAGTAAATTCAATAAAAAACCAAATCATGTTCGTCAGAAGCAACAAATAATTAAATCCAATGTAACTAAAATCTAAACCTTTTTCTACATGCTTTGGCTAAAAAAATTGTGCATCCAGTTGAATTGCTCGAAAATAATTTTTAATCCTTCCTATGATGTTTCAAATGAAAAGTTTCTTGCCAAAATTTCTAGTTGGCCTATGCTCCGAATTACCTGCTTTTTTGTTTTGCTCTTTTAAATAGTTTGCCATTTTGATGTCGCTCAGCTGTTCGATAGGGATCGTCATTTTATTCAGAACCGCACATCTAACATTCTAAAGTAGCGCTTTCATAGGTTTGAAGTTAGATTCACTAAGGTAAACGCTAAAGCAAAAGAAAACAGCAAACAAAGAATTACTGCGGTAATTTTTCCTGTTGTCATACACTTTTTGTGCTTTAATACAAGAGATTTGGTTCACAATAAGTCATTAATACTGTTTTCATTTTTTCTTCAAACGACAAACGGCCAAAACTATCCTACGGACAAATATCATTATTAAGAGAAAAAATTCCATAGTTTGTTATGTACGTCCTTTTCAACCATTTTTGATTTTAGTATTTCACATAAAAATTTATTCAGCGTTCATTGATAGCGATAGCAAGCTTATGAGTCGAGAAGAACGAACAACGATACAGTGGTCGTCGATCGCCGTAATATAATAGTTGTGTCAGTTTTCAGCTGTTTCGAGTTTTTAAAATGGCTTTAAATTTCTATCTCTCAATTATCAATTGTTGTTTTATAGAATCGCTGATTGGTCCAAATTACAACATCAATAATTAAGTTTCAGTATTTTTAATTGAGATGATACTGCAACATTTTAGATTACAAATAAAATTATTTAGATTTTTCTAAGTACACAGCTGTACGAATACAAATTCATGTTGTTCCCATATTATGACAGAGCATTTGATGTATAAATAAAATCGATAAGCGAGAAAATGCTATTATCGGCTTAGATTTTCTCTTTATTCACATGTATATTCATACATATACAGTTTCTGCTTCATCCCTCTAATAAAACTCTATGGTACAAATGCAGTAGATGAGACCCTAGTGATTTTGACACAGATTTATTTTTGATTAATAGGCACTACATTTTTCAAGAGAACACTCTCATACGATATGGTTTAATCTTAACTGCGTCCAAGTGCAAGATCTCGGATAACTCCTTTTTTTATGAAAGTTGTAAATTCATCCAAATTCAGACCATAGTCATTGTTAGTATCAGCCGGTTGAAAATAACGGAGCATCATATATGGATTGGAATTGGGCACTATGGCAGGCATAAACACTGCTAATTCATTAAGATCAATTTTATCTGATTTGTCGAGATCAAGTAATTGAAATGCTTCCGGTATATCTTCTGCTGCATCATCTGCCATTAGTAAGGGACGTGTTATTTTTGTAAAATTTTCAAAAGTAAACCATGGCTTTTTATTAACAGCGGCGATATGTTCAAATTCATCTCTCTTGATAATAACGCGATGTTGGCGTGTTTTATTTTTGGGGAGAAATTCATCATAGACATATTCAACTGAAGTAATTTTATCATCCTTACGATGTAAAATTTCTTGTACACGAAGCTGGGAACTATCACTCATGATAAATTTCAAATCTAAATGAAGTAACATGAAAGAAACACATTTTTTTGCATGATTACGTACCTATTTTAGTAGGATGGCTGATAAAAATAAATGATTCTAATTGCTGCTGATGTTTTAGTAAGAATGAAAGAACAACACAAAAAGAAATTCACGTAGCTTGTTTCTTTTCTGACACTTCTACGGCTATCAACTGCGTAGTTCATATTCATACATTAAATCGAAAAATATATTACTCAACTTGTGTACACTTTTCTTCTTTATTTGGATTTTATGAAAAAAATTTAAGCAGGAGCTGCAGTCTGATATAGAAATGAATTTTGAAATTTACGTCTCTATTCCGATCATCCGACATTCATAATCATCTTTTTAGTTTCTGTTCGTTTTTCAAGGTTATTAAAAATAATTATTTTGTTTGCATTTTCTTCACTCCTTCGCTTCCATTCTTCTACTGGCATGTCGCTCTTTTTCTCATTGCAAAACAATCAAATACTTACTTTGTGAAAGTGGTTGTGTGTCGACATTGGCGCTTTCATCAACAATCAGAAAAGAGTTGCTCTTCAAGTGAAACACTAAACCAGGCAAATGTATTTTTTGCCACTAGAAAAAGGTTCGCGTCTTTCCCCACTTCTAGTATATATATATATATATTGATGCATTCATGCCAACTGAATTGCCAACTCAGTGATTCTTTTCTTTTTAATATGAAATTTAGTTGTTCTGTATTTATTTCACGCAATCATAGAATATATTTCGCGGCCAGCTATCTATCAAAATAATAGAACAACTTTAATCGATGCCATTCTTCATTGTTGCTGATTCATTTCCAAGACGTTAAAATTTCTCAATTACATTCGATGTGATTTTATACTTATAATGCACTCGTAATTTAGACCGGCTTTGATTTGCGAACAACAAACTATCTACAAAATTAATCTGATTGTGAATATGCAAAGTCACATCGAATGTAATTGAGAAATTTTAACGCTTTAGTGATGAATCGGAAATAATCAAGAATGACATTGATTAAAGTCGTTCTATTAATATGATAGGTAGCTGGCAGCGAAATATATTCTACGATTGTGTTAAGTAAATAAACGCCAACTAGATTTCATATTAAAAAGAAAAGAATTACTGAGTTGGCAATTCAGTTGACATATAGATGCAACAATATATTTGAAGGGATGAGGAAGAAGAAAATTTGCTCAGGAGCGTATACACTCATAAAATTTTTGATTGACACATTTTATTTAACACAGCTTTAGTTTATTTCAGTTTTTTTAAAATACAGGTTAACGATCGGAAAAGTCTGTAGGGTCAATGAAAAATAATCGGTAATAACATCTTTATCAAGTTTTTGTCAGTTATATTATAAATGAAAGCGTTGAATCAGCTCAGCTATTTTTATCTCTTCATTTTACATCTTATCAACAGAATTTGTCAAGTCAGTCTGTGTGATTTCTCCATTGGGAAACATTTTCAAAGTACAGCCAAAATGTTGATACCACTGCCGACTCAATGACAACATCGCTATCATACTCCTTTTTTGCGGTTTGTTGGAAGGAACTATCAACCAACAGATAATGAAGAATAATACCGGGTGGGGCAAAAGTTTTGCGACATTTTTTCTCTTGCAAATATTCTGATACGCAAATAACACATGATTCTAAAGTTCTCATCAGCGGATACAAAATTTAATTCTCTACAAACTCGTTTTAACTTTAATTAAAAACAATGAACCAAAAAATATTTATTGGTTAATGTATTTGGCCCAGTAAATTACATTTATTTCCCACGCATTTTTTCGTCATGTTTTTTTTCTGCTAAGAAATATTTAATTTTCAAAGTATAAATCACTGCTAGACACAACTCGAAAAGCTCTATCGATTGCAAGCAATATAACGTTTTCTAAAACGCATTCCTCTGATTAGACGCTAGGTCAATTTTTTGAACAAGTGACATTTTCATCCTCAATGCTAATGCTTTCGCAATGAAAGCTTTTTTAAATTGCACTCATCATTAAATCGACCTAATTTTATCAGAATTTAATAGAGAATTGATTTTTTTCTGGCTATGAGACGCTCAGATAATACTTTATTTAAGTGGATCAGCTAAAAAAGATTTAAATCCTATGAAAAAAGCTATTTGTGCTGTAGATGCTCACTCAGGGGACTTTTTTTTAGTACCCATATAGATTATTCTCAAACACTTATAGGCATTTCTGAAAATGCTCATGATGCGGAATCCAATTACAAGAAATCGAGCTTCTTAGATGCATTCTTAGAATTTGAAAAGAACCTTGGAAATATATAAAAGATTGAGTAGGAAATAATTGTTATTTGATGAGTCACATACATTAACCAATAAATATTTTTTGGTTCATTGTTTTAAATTAAATTTAACACGAGTTTGTAGAGAATTGAATTCTGTATCTGCTGATGAGAACTTTAGAATCGTGCGTTATTTGCGTATCAGAATATTTGCAAGAGAAAAAATGTCGCAAAACTTTTGCCCCATCCGGTATATAAAACTGCTAAATTATCTTGATCGGCATGTATCCTTTGTACAAGGAAGAAGTTGATGAGTTCTGGAGCGTTCTTACTAGAGACTGAAGTGACTGCATTCTTCGAGTGGACAAAACGATGAATTTTCGTGAAAATGGAGACAAAATTCTAAAAAAAACAGCTGGAAAAATATCAAGAATTATTTAGCTAGTGTCTCCACAAAGAATATGTATATGATGGTCTACTTACGACATATAGATTCCAATGGGCGTTATAGCCAGGCGCTTCTCGGAGTGATGAAATCAAGGGGAACAAGCGGACTTCGGTACTTCCGAAGTACAAAAGTACGGAGAAATACAAAGAAGAACTGAAAAGTACGAAGAAGCACAAGAAGTACAGAAATCCGCTTGTTCCCCCTTGGATGAAACTCGTACAAAAACAGTCGTATTTCAATTGTATAAATACTGTCTGTGTTAGTAGTATATGTGTTGAAAACTTGGAAAAAATAAATACTTTGTGAGTATGCCTAGCAAATTATTTTTTATGCGTTTTTACATTGACATATACTTTCAGCTACGATATTTAATTTGAGAATGCAATTGTGGATTTGAGTGTGAAGAATAGAATCACATAGACTAGTGTATATCAAAGCGAGCCGTGATAGATCTCAATCTGACTACAGAATATTTTCGCATGTTATTTTGCTTCTTAACTAAAGAAAAATTCATCAGTAAGTTGTCAACGTCTGAAACGACTGGGCGTGTCTTGCATCTTTTTGTATTCTCAGGAATGAAAATAGGAATAAAAATAGAAGCCTAATTAGTCTAGTATCCAATCAGTCAATGTTGGATATTGATAAACATCTCTCTAGCAAAAAGGGTCGTAATGTACGGCAGAATTTTATTTTTAAACATTTACTCATTTTGGAAAACAAAAACAAAAATAGATTTGATCCCACAAGTAGGAAAAAAAACAGATGTCTAGATGCGCAACCCTTACTCACTTATTAACCAAATATCTTCCTTCTCAAGATTTCATTCAAATTGTTTGTTTTATTGAATAATTTTTTCTTATAAAAAAGAAAGTGTTCAATGCATAAAATTAAAATTTCGTTACAACTTTTACACACTTAATTAAACACATAAAATAAACTATTCAGCATCTATAATTCTGATTTTACATAAAAACAATTTTCTTTCAGTCTCATAGCTGAATGCTCTAAATATTTGAGTATATGAAGGAGGTTTCTGGATGCACCAATATTTACAAGTAAAATTTGTTTTAGTTTAAAGAATATAATTTTGCCCATTTTTTAATCGATGAATTAAACAGCAGCACATTTCCGCGTATTTACGACTGCATTCGAAGGTCTAACCGTAGCTGATCGTTTTTTTCGTCGCCAAAACAGTTTGTGGTGCAAATCAGGATATTGGTATAAACAAACGAAAGGGAAGGATAATACTAGAAAATAACATGAAAAATAAAAGTACTGTTCTGCTTCAAATCCAACATTGCTTGGTAGACCACATACATGAGCTAAAGCGAGAATGTTCAGCGGCAGGTTGAAAGTTAAATTTAAACTCGAGATTGATAATAGTTGTATCATCATTCGACGTTGCTTACGCCATCGTGTTCGTTGGTGAAGACGACGTTTCAACAATGAAACACGAACTAGAAGCAATATACTAAAAACCGCAACAGCTACAGTAGGTGCAATATTATTGACACCAAAATCCCACTTGCCAAGCATACTATTAGACTGATAGCATGGGTACGCACTACATATTGGTAGTTTGTAGTCATAGATGTTCTCGCATGGTGGTGCGAAAATAACAATACCATAGAAGATGCCCGCATAAAAAATAATAATGAGCAAAGGAAGATAATGCACAAGCAAACGTTTATGACTAGTCGAAACCAATCGATCATGGTACACTAATATATATCGCTCGATAGCAGCCCAAGCCATTAAAATTGTACCGCCATTATAGAACCCAAATGTAGCGAGCCACCAAATAAGACATGTCGCAGGTCTCGTTGGAGTGACTATGCCTCCATGAGTAATAAACGTAAGATATAATGTAATATCAATGAGTTGACTAGGTAGTCCGAATATGAGTAGAATAGTGATGGTATGATTATTTATTTCACGTCGTAATGCACGATTAACAATCAAATGAAAGAGTAGAAAAAATGTGCATGCCACAGATGGAACATCGAGTAGAATAAGAATCCAGAAACGAACGACACGAGGTAGAGATATTTCTGAGCTTTGAAAGGAAGTTCCATCTGTTGCATTGCTATTACTAATAGAGTGGTCAATACCGGCTTTTTTTGAAAACATGAACATTTTCAACATCTAAAAAAGTTCAGAATAGGACTATTCTAAAAGGAAAACGAATAAAATTAGATCAATGATATTATACAACATAAACATACACTTCGTGTGATGCTTCGTGTATTTTCAATGACTCTGTAAGAAATTATATCTCATCATCTTATAATTCAATCCTAAAATTGAAAATTTATGGTAGGATCGTATATATTTAGTATGGCACCTGCTTTTTGTTTTAGTTTAATTATTTTTCTGAAAATTATACGCTTTATGAAGAGACGCCATGCAAATCGAGTGAAGAGTAAACTAAATATATCGTTCAAAATGAAGTTAAAGTCTTAAGAACAATTTAGACGAGGAGAATAAAGAAGCTCATAATAGTATCCATAGTTAGTATTAAAAATTATGTCGCGACAGCCTTCTACTTCAAGGATGAAGAAGATCAGCTTTGTACGTAATAGTACGATAGCTACCCCTGCTTCGACATATTTGCCCTCTGTACAGGACTATTAAGAAGATATTGTTTTATGGCAATCATCCTCGTTTTCACAATCATTTGATTCTTACCATTATTATTATTATCGCTATTATTATTATGAATTCTATCTAAACAAGCAATGCTATTTTATAGACAACAGAAATTGAGCGAACTCAGTAAAAAACTAGAGAACATAAATATTGTAGCCTGATATCTATAGATGTAATATAATATCAGTTCACGCAACTAAATTATGATTGATTTTATTTTAAAAAAAGCTACAAATACAGATCGAACAATTGATTTGACAAAGTATTTGAATACTCGATATATTTTACTTCTAATTAGATGATATAATCAAGAAAAAGGGTTATCATCATTCTTCGAGAAAAAAACCATGACTATCAACAAACATAGAATATTCAGATAAAAAAAAGATTAGAGATAGCTCAAAATCATTGTGTAACAGGAAACCAATAATTTCTCTATGAAGAAAATGGTGACCAAGTTTTAGAACGATCTTATGTTAATGAAAAACAATTGTAATATATTTCAGAATTGAATATACTGGCCTGTTTTTTAATAGTTTTTGATAAGAATATCGTAAATATTTGACATGATTTTGGAAAAGTAGCTAGTCAGAATCTATATGGTTTTCTGTGGAGAATCATAGCATTGTTTTTCGGATTTGAATGGATCTGAAATGATTGTCTCAACATTCTTGAAAGTCAACAGTTAAGAAATGTCCAGATAATTGAGTCAGACAAATTCAAATGTAAAAAACAAGTATTTCCTTCCAATTTAGTAAGTCAAATAAATTCTACCTGGTTATTTTTGTGATAGATCAAAGGTCTATTGGCTGTAATCAACAGTCTTCGTGTTCTGTTTTGAATGATAAAAACTACAGATACCTATAGTATTCATATAAAAAGCATTAAAACAAGAAATAGAGCTGATTATGTTCTGAGTTGAATAGACATTAATATTTACTGTCTTAAAAAAAGAACGGCGAATCAGGTTTTATTTTATTCTGTGTTGCGTATGTTAGAATCCTATACAAAATTTGACACATGAGATACAGTCGATATAGTTATATTTATTTAATAAGTGGAAAGATTTTGATAAATGACAGTTTTAATATGAGGAAGTAGACAGAAAACGCATGACAAGATTATTCTTTCATCAGACAACAGAGAAAAATAATTCTTATGCGATTTTAACGCTCATAAATACAATTTATTTGGTGTCAGAATATTAATGAAATGAAAGTGAAATGAAAGATGCTTCTCTTTTTAGCCCATCAAGTATTATAAATTTTATCTGTTTTATCATTACAAGCAGAGATATTTAAAAAAAACATTTTTAATTCATTAATACGTCAAAGATGATTCAAAATTCGTTTACCTGTTGTATTATAACATATCTAATTAATTATTTTAAATTTTCAGATACATTTAATCAATAGAGATTTTTACGGAAAACAGTCGATACTTTTGATAGTCGATGTAATGATATGATGGTCTACTGAAACATCTCAAATAAATTAGACTTGAAATTCAATTAAAATGGCATGGCAATTTTTTTTATGTTATATTTCATAGATTTTACAATGAAATCTGAGCGCTGTGATTGTTGAAGTAAGAGTTTATATTATTCATCGGGCCAAATTCATTTTCAAAAAGCTTTTATTTGTGTTTCAAAGTCATACTGTGCTTTAGATTCAATAATAGTCGAGGTATGATGATTTTTTTCATGAGTATGAGTAAACAAGTAGGATAACACCTCAAGGTACTCTCCAGTTTATGCTTGAACTCTTTGAATACACTACAAAAACGAGAAACAGGAAACATGAAAGAAATGCAAGAATAGTTCAGTATATGATGTGACTATGTTGTATCCAATGACTATACAACGCATCATAGATTTGAATAAGTCTGAAGAATAATTTGTGTTTAAATCAATTTCCAATGATCTGCAAAACATTAGATTGCTAGTCAACATAAAATTTCTATTAAAATGAAGCAATCATTCTGATTTAGTATCTCGTCTTACAAAATGAAATCTGTGAAAGAAAACTCTTTTCAAAATAGAGATGCATCTTTTTTTAGATAGAATATTGAAAAAATAATTCAGTTGGAAAACATAATGCTGCCAAATAGCTATTTTTCCAAGCAGATAATTGCAATGACAAGAAACTCGCGTAGAGAAAAATTATTTACACTAATGTAGCTGCTTTTTTTAAACTAGAACTGCCAAGAATATACATTAATTATGTACTGGAAAAATAGTTTATCCGTAACAATTCTGGGTACTAAATATTAGCACCTAAGACGTGTTACTATTATGTTTCAATATGAATCATTTACTCTTGAAAAATAAATAGAAATCTACTGGAACAATTATTTCTAACAATCAATATAAATTCATATATGAGAGAAACATGTTGCCTACAACTGGATTGGAAAAATCGTAGTAAAAATTTTTTAAACAAGATTTGTTTGGCTTCCTATTTTGCTCCTCTTTCCATTGCAAACATTAATGAGTTCATCAGTACGCTAATTAGAGGCTACACTCATTAAACTGTTATTTCTTCCTTTTTTTCATCCCAGATTATTTCAAACACATTGAAGTCTATCTATTGCAGACATAGGTAGCTAGGTATTACTCTGTTTACACTGGTTAGAAGAAAGGTATATTTTTACGAACGTTTTTTCATTTTTATCTGTTTTATACTAACTTAGTAAACTTCAAGTATTTATGTCATTTTTATATTATAGACTTAAAGGAACTGCGCTGCTAAACTCTTCAATTTTGGCACTAGTACACATCGTCGCACGATACTGCGTCGCAGTAAAGTTATTTTCGTTCTGTTGTTCCTATCTATTTATCGCATCTCTCTTAATGAAATATTTTTTTGTGTATAACCAATGGAAATAACATAAAATAAATGAAAAATTGCAAGAGATATGTATAATAGCGATAGATAATTAATTGTGCTAAGACATATGATTTTAATTGGGTAAAAGGATCAATAAAAAATATTATTCTAATGTAATTATGATAGGGCTAAAGCCAATAAAGACTAATTAGATTTATCGCTCGCTTCATGAATTTCAGCGTAATCTAAACTAAAAATAACACTGATCCGACATTCTTAATTATGGAACCAAGTTCAATAAAAAAAATGCATTTCACTTCTCAATTTCAACTTTCACTGCGCACTACTTTTCAAGCAAAATGTCTCAAATAGAAAAACTGTTTTCTATGAAAGAAAAAGCAATGATGCAACAAGAAGGTTACATCTATACTGAAAAACGTACAATAACGACTAAATTTATTCTTCGATCTAAGAATTGAGGTTATGCAGCTAAGATCGTTCTAAACATCAATCAATTAATTGAAATAAAAATAATTTATCAATGAAGCTCGTTGTTTATGCCAATTTATCCCTGAAGACATTTCTCTCACCGCCAACATCACACTCCCATGCTCCAAAATCCGATCATTTTCCAATTATCTAATTATAAATTGATATTAAAATTCAACCGGTCAACTCCCTCGGCTCATCTCACCTAGATCAATTCTTAAAGAATATAGCAGCCAACATTACTTTTTAGGTCATTTTTTTTCTTTAGATTATTTTCTTTCTCAATCTGTTCCTCATTATGTTACGTGTATTACGCACGAAATATACAGGAATCAACTCATCAATTTTCCATTAGTTATACACAAAAAAAATAATTCATTAAGAGAGATGCGACAAATAGATAGGGACACCAGAACGAAAATAATTTTTCTGCGGCAAAGTGATCGTGCGACGAAGTGAGCGGTCACCTCAATTTGTTAATTATATTAAAAACATGAAGATTTAACATGATGAATATACGGTTAACTTCTATGTATAATCCTTAAACCAAAATACACTAAAATTTAGTATTGAATTGGAATAAGATAGTTGTATTTCTTTTCTTGATGAAAATATTTACACGAATGGATGAAATGTATTAAAATATAATGAATATTCAAAATAGTTCATGAAAGGTACAATGAGAGAATGCTTTACTGCAACAAAAGTAAACGCTACATTATCAGGAAAGAAAGAACATGGACTCAACATGAAATAATAATGAAGAGATAATCAATCGAATCTTAATTGATATGGATTGTGGATCTCATTTAGGTTAGTAGTACACTGACGACAAAAATTTACACGAAAAATTCAAAACTATCGGTGCTCTATATATTATTCGAGGTAAAAACATACGACGACATAGACGCAGGACAAACAATAAAAGATACTGATATAATGACAAAGTAACATGAAGAATGATGCCAATCAACAAAACACTTCTGAAAAAAACTTCAGAATTAGACTTTCCACGAAATTTCATTCAATAGTAAAATCCTTTGAACGGACTTCGAAATTAAAATTAGTCAAAGAATTTCTAAAGAAAAACTGTGAATTATAGACTCAGCATTCTTCAAAAATTATAAAAATTATCATAAATGCTTGGTAATGAAGCAAGTTGGTGTCAAA